ACAGGGGGGGGGAATTTCTTTTCTGCCATGAGTCTATAAGGCTTCAAGAGTAATTTCTCTCACCTGATGAGTACACCACGAAAAGCATTACTACGTGGCCTAATATTTACAAAGCAAGCGGCGCATTTTCATGGGCTGGCATATCCAGATATTCTAATACGCTCTGGATAGATCCTCATCAACTTTGTCTATCTCATCCTATGGCACCACCGTCTACGGCCTACAACGCATTTTCTACGGACCCCTCCGCCAGACCGAAGTCGAGCAGCTATCCGAACGAGCATGGTTTGCCATCACCGAAACATGCCTTGCGATGACCATCTTCAGAGACGAGATAGGAGCCTGGTTTCTTGTCATGTTCACAGCGTTGATTACAGGCAAGGTTTGGGGCTGGATTGGAGACGGACGAGTCGAGATCCTTGAGCAACAGCCGCCGGCCAATCCGGGCCTTTTCCACACGCGACTCAGCTTGTCTCTGCTGCTCAGTCTTGCCTACGATCTCTGGATCCTGGCCTACACCATTCGAACCGTGATCCGACAAGCTCGACCAGACATGATGGTCATGTTCCTTTTCGAGTTCGCAGTGCTCGCCACTTGCTCTGCCCGCACTGGCGTTCGATACCTGGTCTCCATACTCGAGAGTCGCATTGTCAAGCAACAGACAAAGACGCTACTCGAGGAGCGACGCCGCGAAGTCCGACGGACCCGGGACAACATGATGAGACAACGAGCCCAGGAGCCTAGCGCTGATGGGGAGACTACCGCCGACCAGTCCGACCTCCCGCGTGAAGAAGACGTTGATGAGATGGACATCGAGGTACCAGGCTGGGAAGAAAAAGGCCAATGGATTCTCATTCTGGACCTTGTCGCTGGTATGAAACACATGCCTACAAAGTGAACACCGGAGATAGATGGCTGACCATGGACAGATTGCACCAAATTTTCGATCTACATCGTCTTCTTCTTCATACTCTTCTCCTTTTACGGACTACCCATCCATATCATGAGGGACCTGTTCATGACTGGGCGCGCCGTCATCAAACGAGGCTCGGCTCTATGGAAATACCGCAAGGCAATGGAAGACATGAACAATTACGCCGACGCCACGCAAGAAGATATTTCCAGAGAGGATACTTGTATCATTTGCAGAGAGGAGATGAGACCCTGGGATCCTGCCAATAACCCTGGCGCCCTCCAGCGAATCCGACCCAAAAAGCTTCCATGTGGCCACATCCTTCACATGGGTTGCCTCAAGAGTTGGCTAGAGCGTCAACAGGTCTGCCCCACATGCCGCCGTTCGGTTGTCATCAATGCTCCTCCTGCAGCAGCGAACCGGGATGCCGCCCTAGGCCGACTCGGTCTCGGTGTGCCAGCAGCCCCAGCACCAGTCGGTCAAGCCCAGCCCCAAGCCCAGCGCCCACTGCCAGCAAACGGCCAAAATGGCGGCCCACAAGCTCCAGCGCAGCCTGCTGCTGGCCAGCCTGCTCCTCGAAATGGAGGCGCGCGGGTGTTTAATTTTGGCAACTTACGTGTTGGATTCGCTCAAGGGGGAGAGAACATACAGGAATTAGCGCAGCGTATGGCACAAGGTCGCCAAGGAGGCGCGACTCCAGGCCATCCTGCCCCGGCCACGCCGATTACTCCGACTGTTGCTACTCCATCAGTACCCTATGGCGTTCTGGGTAACGATGTTGGATCGATACGAGAACGTCTTCGTGAAGTTGAACGTTCTATCCAGAGTAACCTTTTGAGTCTTCAACAAGACCAACAGCAGCTCCAGCTCTGCAATCTCCTACTCGCAGAGCTGAACAGGCTCCGTCAGCAACAGCAACAGCAACAACAACAACCACAAGTGCCGAATCAAGAGGTGCCACATGGGTTCACCGTGCCCACCTTCTCTGTTCCACAACAGCCACTGCCGTCACTGCAGCCGTTCTCACAGACGCCGTCACATGCCTTTAGTCGGCATGGGATCACAGCGCAGTCGGCTCCCATCCACGCTGGTAGCCAGGACCTGCCCGAAGGTGTCTCCATACCTCCGGGCTGGTCTCTGCTCCCTCTCCAGCGCCTGGACGGAGCCCCAGTTCCCACGACGACCCAGAGCACCCAGAGTGAGCCCTCTGTGGAGCCTTCAAGCTCAACACGTCAGAACGAAGCAGTGCCGCCCGCAGCTACTGCCAACGGGACGACCGGCGGACCCGAGATCCTGGCACCTAACCCCGTCATGCCCAACTGGGGTGGCGAGAATCAGCTCTTTGGCCGCAGCAGGAGTTCCGCCCGAGACGGCAACTCGGACACCACATCGACGACGGACGAGCCGAGGGAAAAGAGCCCAGCCGTCGCGCCGCCGGCATCGGCACAGCCTACAATGGTCGCTGGTAGGGCCGGCGAGGAAAAGGGCAAGGCCAAGGCTGTCACGGTCGAGGACGCGGGTGATGACCAGGAGGGCGATGCCTCGTAGTGCGCGTGCGCAGACATATGACTGATTGAGAATGAAATTTGCACGGCATTGAGCGGCCCCCTTTCCTCCTTCCCACAATCCTACCTATCGCACCTGTACTGAATATACCAATGAGATGAATCAGCGAAGATCTTGATGCCATGGTACACTGGATTCGTCGTGATGGCGCTTGCCTCGTATCCTGTCAATGTTGTCACGTTAGCTTTCACACAGCGTACACATGCTGCTGACTGCACCGATAAGCTACGTATGGGCGACCCGCGGCAAGACTAGCAACCAGAACGTACACATACTTTAATCTCATCCCTAAAGGCAAAGGGTCTTGAAGGGTGGCCCTGCTGAGCTAAAGCCAAGCAGGGCCGTTTCGAATAATACCTGACCGAGACGAACCAGACTTGGGCTCGCTCATCACTAGTTCTCCTGGGTTCATCTGCTTCAAATGGTTGATACGGCACAAAGACATTACGAGGGCACCATTCACCAGAAACCGCGCCACATCAACCATTATTATACTCGTGCCCCTCCTCATCTACCAGTGCTTCCTCGGCTGCACCAATAACTAGCCACTGCTATCATACATCCCGTTGTCGCGAGTACTCCACCATCTTAGCCACTTCGACAGTTGCCACCAGACTGAGGTGTTCATCAGGGTTTCGACCACCGGCAGCCACTCTAATTCTCTTTTCAGCCATTGAGCACATCGAGCTCTTCATCAGTTGGTAGCAACGGCGTCTCCCGTACCGGCGCGTCCTCCCCTTTCTCCCAAGTAGCGCCCGGACCGCTATACGACGGCTCCTCTATCGAGGGACCCGTTGTAAGTGGCTCCGTGCTGATGTCTCGACGGGTCGTAGCAGCATCTTGCTCAGCTCCCATGCTTCGCATAATACTTGCAGTCGTGCCGCCTTTTACCGGCTGCGGACTGAGCACTACGCTACTAGACTGCTGTACACCATGAGCATTTGAGACCACGCCCTCTGAACCGAACGGCAGAGAGCGAGTGGGAATCTCACGGCCGAGTCCGTCCGTTCCATCACCTTGCCCGAGTCTCTTCAGCAGTGCTTCAGACTGTTGCTTGGCGAGCTTCTGAAGTTGTTCCGCCGGATCCTTGTACGTCCGAAGCATGTTAGTGAGATCGCAAAGACAGTCTGCAGGAGTCCAGCGTTGTCCATGCACACATACCCAGGCGGACTGCAACGGTACGCCCTCCGCGACCGGCAATACCTCTTCGTCCTCACCGTCACCAGCACCAGGGTCGCCGCCACCCCAGAACTTGGGCCGGCGGATGGGTGCAGGTGTAACGGGAAGACTGGGCCGATCGACTTCGCTGGGAAAGTCGGTCAACCTGAACCCGCGCTCCTGCTTCGCCTTTCTGTTGACCGAGGCGATGCCGGGCGAACCCTGGCTTTTCACGCGGCGGTGCTTCTGTAACCCTTCGACGTAGCGCTCAATCTCGGGCATTTCATCCCAAGCATTCGTCCGCGTGAAAGTGTTCCAGGGGTCTGACGGAATCACATTGATGGTCGGGGTGACAGGAGTCACGGGTTCACTCTTCTGTTCCGCTGTCGACGCTTCTGTGTCTATGTACTCAGCATCGCGCTGTCCAGAAATCGTCGTTTGGTGCTCACCCGTTGGCGTGGCTTCAGGCTTTTCGGCTTCAGACTCCGCGGGCAGGTCTGTGAACACTCGCGCTGGCCTAGGTTGGTTTGACTCCCAGGGGAAGATGGCACGAGGCTTTTGAGAAGGCGGAGCAGGTTTCTCTTTGGGCACCTCGTACCACATGTCTTTAGGCGGACTGGGATAGCGTGGGGGAGGGACAAACGGAGCAGGGTCCTGAGACATGGTGTAAACCTGGTGTGGAAAATTAAGCGCCTCGGGTTGCGAGTCGGCAGGCGGTGGTTGCCTGAGAGGTCTAGTGAGCACGATAGCCTGCCAAGCGGCATAGTGGGCAGCATGTTTGACTTACCATTGAGCGTCCCATGTGTTCAAGGGAATAGGTCGTGGCTCTGGCTTGTCCTTAGGGGGTGTCACAGGCGGGGCTGGGGGCTCCCGTTCCGTCCCCGCAAGATTTTGCTCTGGACGAGCCTCAGTGTGTGTTCCAGGAGTATCAATCAACACACTGGGAGAGGAAGGGGAGGGCGCAAGGCGGGACGAGGGCTCGGTCGGAGAGGATCCGTCTTCCCAGTGGTCTTGATGGCGTTCATGTGTTTCATGTTGGCGATGGGGAAAATGACGTTCAAGTGAGCCCTGCCCCTGGATCTCATGATGAACCGTGCCGTGGCCCTCGTTGTACGCACTGTGCTTCTGCTCACCAGCTGGAACTGTTTGGTCCGACTTCGGCTGATATTCGCCCTTTGTGAAGTACTGAACTAGTGGTGATACTGTTGGCTGGGATGTTACGTGTAAGCCTTGCGAACGATGGGGTTTCAATGAGAATGAGTCTTGCTCCTATACAGAGGTTCAGCTGAACAGCTCACATGTAGCGACATTGCTCGAACTTACGGGAGCTCTGTAATGTCTGTCATACACAGCCCACCACCTTCCAAACATTTGATCAAAAGGAGAGTCCCCCTTGTGCGTATCGCGGCCTTTCGACCAAGGTTTGTCAGAGCCGATGAAGTGGACCATATTGATGCTGGATTGGAAGTGACGGTAGGCCGGAAGATACTGGTAGTGAGCGGAGGGGGTCACGTTGTACGTGAAGCTGATGCGGTTGTAGTTGTTCCCGAAGTGCATATTCAGCAGACCCTGGTCGGCACCGTCGAAAGAGATGCCCCTCTCAGCCATAGCAACAAGTGCATAGTAGTCGCCCATGTTGGGCGTCAAGACCATGACGCCCGAGTTGAAAAGATCAGGCCAGCCGATGTCGGGCGCGGCGGAAAAGGGGTGAGGGATGCTAAAGAGTTCATCGGGGGCCCTGTATGCGACAACGTCGGCATCGATGTATACGATTTTCGAGAATTGTGTCTGTTTCCACAAGTTGATTTTGGTGAAAGCAGAGTGCAGGTCGGCGCGGTTCATCAGGTACAGGTTGGCGGGTCGCTCGTTGCGCAGACGGGGTACCGGAATGACATGGTCGTAGACGGTCTGAACAATCGCACGTTAAGGTTGAGAATGATTTTGAAGGGGCGGAAAGCGATGGTGGGTGGAGCGGGGTTACCTTGAGCTGTGTGATGACCTCGGCGGAGACGGTGTCGAGTGTGACCAAGACGGCCAGCTGATGGGCGGTACCAGCATCGCGCAAGGAATGAGCGAGGACCAATGCGCCTGTGGGAGGATGAGCGCAAGTCGGGGGATCGAATGAGGCATGCCAAGCTTACCTGGGAGGTATGAATCGCTGAGCAGAAGCTGGGTGAGAGGCAGCGTGTGAGCTTGAGGTGCGAGGCAGCGTGTTGACTCGGGGCCAGTGGAACAAACGAACCGTAGCATAGACAAGCTGGTGCTGGTCCCCTCCTTGCACGGCCATTGACATTGTGGAGGGGTCGGCGTTCTGAGACACTGACAGCAATAGGTCGTCACCGAACAATAGGCGGACGGCAAGGTGCCGAGGGAGGATAGGCGCCAGGTTCAGCGCGAGGCCATGAAGCTAGGTACGGCAAGAAGCGAAAGGTCCTGGGATTAGAATTGAGAGAGCAAGAGAGAGGCAACGCGTGCGAGGTCGAGAAGCGAGGGGGAGGTGAGAAGTATGAGAGTAGGATCAAGGGGGGGTGGAGGGACCCCAGGAGGGAGGAAGGCAGGTTGTTGGCAGATACCTTGCCTTAGCTACTCAGGTAAGGTAGGTAGCTGCACGAAGCACGAGGCACGAGGCACGAGGCGCGGGATGCGGGATGCGGGATGCGGGATACGATGGGATGGCTGGCTGGGACGAGGGTCTCCGACAGCTGGGTGGGATGAATGGAGAGAAGCCGCAATTGCTCGGAGTGGCAGAGGGAAAAGAAAAAGCAGGGTAAAATCGGCAGGCAGCCAGAGGGGCGTTGATTGACATGGCAGCCGCTTCATCATATCATTCTGCCGATTGTCTTGCCTGCCTCTGCCCGCCTGTCGTGCCCGCCCTTTCTTTCCTTACCTTACCCTCGTTGCACCACCACGACCACCCGGACCTTCTTTCCCAAGTGAGGTTTGGTTAGCGCCTGCCTCATTCTCCACGCTGCTCTCGTCTTCAGACGATGACTTAGCTCTGTTGTCACATCCCCGAGGGCATCCCTTTCACTGCTTGTCTTACTCGAATGGTTGAAGATGCCAACAAGTGATTGCAGAGACAAGTTATCTATGACGAGCCCCCCCGTCGGGCTTTGTTCGGATCCCAACAATGATCCTATGTCGATACCTTTGGCGAGCGATCGAGCGAGCAAGGGGCATAGCGTCAAAAGGTCAGGCTATCTGACCTAAGGTAGGTACCTACCTGTTGCTGGAACCCAGGCCTACACCTCGGATACCGTGCGCGATGACGACTGGTGGTCCCCGCCGGGCGACCAGGGGGGAGTCCACTGTCCTCACTGACTCCATCAGGGAAATTACGGGGGAGTCTCCTGCACAAGGCCCCGCCAACAGCCCACCATTGGCTTGCAAGCCGGTTGGGTTAGTGTGCTTGCAGCACCGGCGGGTGGCTCGCTCGTTGCAGCGCGTCTGCTTTGTGCCGTGCTTCGTGTTCAGCGCTGCACCTCCCACAAGCTGCATGCTGCATTGTAGTATCACCACCTCCCGCATCCTCACCAATCCTCTATCAACAATGCTACCCTGGGATGCCATGGATATGAGAATAGTCTCTTCGGTCTCAGTCCGAGTCATCTTGCCGATTGAAACACGTACGTTGGGTAGGGGAAGGGAGCAAGAGACATCATTCCTGGAGCAGCAATATCTCTCGCCAATCGATCGCAGCCCCTCTGCGGAATGCCTCAACGATAATGTACCGTACGCCATCCATCACCTCAACAGCATCGAATTCCCTCAAATGGTAATTTCGCAAACCTGGCGCTTCCGAAGCCATCCAACGTCCAACGCCACCTGGACGCGTCCATCGCTCGCCCCATCAACCCTGCAGCTGTGGCCATCCCTGGAGCCTCGTCCCCGACCGGCCGGTGCCACACGACACAACTTTTTTATGAATCAGTCTTTTGTTCTCGGCAGCAGTTGTATTGTCCGCCTCGCCGCGCCTGCAACGAATGGCCAGCGCCGAAACCTCACGATGTCCCACTGCCGGCTCAGTTTACAGGACCCTCGAATTGCCCATAAGCGTCGATCTTGCCCGTCTTTCTGCCTGTCGCCCCCCCCCCCCCCACACTGCATGCTACATCGCTCAATGGCCTCATGGCCGTCATGTGCCCTGATAATGTCACGAGGAAACCCACTCTCACGTCTGCTGTTCGCTACACTTTCATCTCGCGTCATATCGTTCTGCTCCATTCCGAGCTTGTCTGGGCTACTGCCTGCCTCGGTCTGCCCTTCCGTTGTGGATCATCTGGGGGAAACCTGCAGCACAATGACGTCCTACTAATCCGCGGCTCATCTACATCAGTGGTGCGTTCTGTGGAGCGTCCGCCCATCCATTGGGCTTCGTTGTACAGCGGGATGACCCCAGTAGTAGTTGATCTTCGCAGCGCAGGCTGGGCAGTTCTTTAATCTTCGGCATGTATGTCGCGGGGCTCGTTGCTATTATGTGCTCTCATGTCTTCTCAAATGCCTGCCTAAGGGGGGCGCATTTGCTACCTAGTCATCTCGATCTCTCTGTTCACCTCCCCCTGACGCTGGCGCTCCGATCAACCAGCCTACGCCCGACGTCAGAGTGCCCATCGCCGCTTCGCGCAGCTGATCCCTCTTGCGTAACCTGTGGTGATCGTCCTCGTGACCTTCCATCTCGTGATCGTTCGCAGGACCCTCGCTCTGAGGCGTCTTGCCCCCACCAGAGGACTGCTGCAGACTTGACAGCGCCGCAAAGTTTCTGGAGGCAGCTCGCGCGGTTGCGCGGCGACAAGTCGAACAGAGACATGGGCGCCTCGTCCGCACCGCTCGCCTTGCTCGGCGGCGCGGTGGAGCCTCGAACACCTGGCACGGCGAGAACCCTGCGAGCCGGGTGCCGGTGTACCGAACCCGCCAGGCATGCCGTGCAGATCATCCTCGTCCGCCTCGAGTGCTGCCTCCGCTTTGACAGCCGAGTCAAGCTGCTCCTCGCAGCGCCTGAAAGTCTTGAGAATCTCCTGCAGCTGTGCCGCTGGCGCGATACGAAGCGCCGTTGACAGGCAGTCGATACGCTGCTCAAGGTGTCTGATGTCGGGGTTGCCGCTCGCCGTGCCCAAATGTGTCGGTTGGATTGTCCGGGCAGTGCGAACGTATTGGCCTGCCAAGAGCGCCGACCGCCATGGCCATTCTTCGTCCGGATCACTAGTGATGCGGGCAGGTGTTCCACCGCGCTCCGATATTCTGCTAACAACGTATGAATAGGCAGTCTCGAAGTCATCTTCTCGGAGCGCTGCTTCAATGCACATAGCGACAATGCGCTCCTCAGCGCGCAGAAGGTGAGCGTCAATGACTTCACCTGACACAGCTGCACCGTGGCTACTCTTCGTCGTAAGGCCAGCCTTAACCATGTTGTATCCCACTTCCAGGAGATCTTGCATCTGGGTATAGCTCTTTTTGTTTTGCTCAAGGACCTTGCTGATAATCGATAACGGGTCCGCGTGAACGCGAAGAATGACAGGGCTGAAAGGTTCGCCTTGCTTCAGCACTAGCCTGTAATCACTCAGGGCATGGGTTGCCTTCAGCAAAGCGTCGATGCGTTGCCTCGCGGGCAACGACTTGCCGATCGTTTGGGGAAAGGCGTTGATGCTGAGAGATGATCAGAGGTGGCTGTCTCGAGGGTACCAGGTCTAGTCTTACATCTCGTGGCATTTCTTGAGGCCGCCCCGAGTGCGGTTGGGATTTGTGGCATTGTCGTATGCGTTGAGGGCTGCACCGAGAATCGTATCTTGCAAAGCTTGTTGTGACAGCGATTGCTCGGCGCCTTCGTATAATGAGGCAGCAAGGGAATACTCTATAGCATCATTAGCAAACAACACCGAGATAGAATTATCAGGCAACTCTTACGATTGTTCGCAAGAAGGCCTTTCAAAATCTCGGCCTCAAGAAAGCTTGATGTTACTCGACCGAGAACTCCGGAGCCTGAGCCTTCTGAACTGGATTTCGCGCCCCAGTCACGGAGCCACAAGATTTGCCTCCGCGATTTCGTCCAATAACTCTCGTCATTCCGAGGAGCTCGATTTACGATCGTATGGATGAGCTTTGTTGCCTCCATCTTTTGCTCACGGTCGTCCTGAATGAACGCAAGGTCTCCCGCGCTTTTGATTGAGCACGGATGTCCAGCCTGGGTGAAGAGGTATGCGCTCAATATCAGCGCCTGAAGGAGTCGTGCCGCCTTCGGAGAGGGAGAAGTGAGTGGATTGCTCTCGTGGAGAAGGTCGTCTCGCATGTAAGCCGTGTTTTTCGGTGATGAGAAGAGCTCGCTGTCAAGATCGGCAACAGTCTGAAGGTTATACACATCCTGTTCAAGCGAGGTAGAGCTGTCGTCGCCGAGAAGTTCCATAACCTTGGACACCATTTGATAAGCGCCGTGAAGAGCTTCCGGGTTCGCCTCTGGCATGATGTAAGCGCAGGCAAGGATGGCTCGTGCATATCGTCGGTCGAGGTACTGTTGTTGCTCTTCTCGCAACCAAATGCCATCGTATTCACCCAAATCCACATCTTCCGGGCCGTTGTACTGCTCGACAGCGGCAACAGCAACTCTCCAGGACCGCGCTGCATGGGCGGTCAGCCATTCTAATACCTGCTCCCAGCCAGGACACAACAGGCCCTCCGTATTCGTTCCTGCACTGATGGCAAGCTGCAATGATGAGTCGGCACTCATTGCAGATATCCAGCGCGTATTGTTATGGAGCCATGGTCCAACCAAGCCGCGTAGGTCCCGCCCAACAGTGCTGAGATCGCCATTTGCGCCAGTGTTCGACAGCAAGACACCGACAGCGATGTTGTCTGGCAGTTTCTGAAACTCGACGAGAGTGTTTGCGACAGCATTCTGTGGATAATATTCGTGATTCCTCCTCAACAGCGGCAAAAGCGTTGAAATTACCCAAGTGCGCAGGTCGTGGCTATGTTGAAGGAAAGGCGCAAGAAGAACCGGCAATTGCGCGAGCAATCCGGCTTCCTCATCCACCCGGTAAGCTCTTCGATAGAGAAATGACGTTATGTGATCTTCATTGGCGTCTGTAGAGCCTTTTCCATCGGACAAGGGAAGTAGTCGTAGTTTGCGGACTTTCTTGGCGGCTTCCTCGTCGTTCAAGTCGTGGACAGTCGCATAATTCAGACCGTTGGCCTCGTGGTCGTCAAATTCGCCCGATTCCAACTCCTTAAGGAAGTCAACATATTCTGCAGACGGTACCGTTTCTGGAAGGTATGTCAGGAGGATGCGCAGGATGATGTCCTTTCGCAGGACGGCTGGATATCGCGACGTCAGGTAAGCCAAGCTGTTCACGTCGGCGATGGTCGCCAAATGAACAGCCAGGAGGACGAGTTTCGGTGGAGACAGGATGAGGCTCATTATGCGCAAAGAAGTCACATATTCGGAAACGGTAACGAGTTTGGTGGTCGAAGGTCGACCTCGGACAGGTTTCGATGTGTCAAGTCGATGTTGTACGGGAGCCGCATCCAATAAGCCACATCGGCCTGATTGAAGGTCTCCAAAGCTCCTTCCCGTCTACAAGTGGAGCGAAGCACAGCGTCATCCTGAACCTTTGGTGGGGCTCCCTTACTCAGGCTGGCTGGGGTGGCTGACAGCTGGTGGACACTGTGCACACAAACTAGCAGTCCAAGGCACCTGTGCACGTGACTAGCAGCGCGAAGTGCCTGCCCTACTCCGAAAACCCTGCCGAATCACAGAAAACATCCACTCTGACCACCAAAACGGCCTCACGACAAATCGCCCTTCGCCCAACGCTCCGACACACCCTCTCGTCCACTTACCCGATCGATCGCAACCCGCTTCCGAAAACCTCACATTTGCGACGATGGATTCCTCTAAGACTCCCGTTAAGCTGGTCAAGGTGACCCGTGTCCTCGGCCGCACCGGTACGAATGCAGTCGACGAAAACACACTTTTGGCGGCGGCTGGATGCTGATTGATTGGAATAGGCTCGCGCGGTGGTGTCACCCAGGTTCGCGTCGAGTTCATGGACGACCAGACCCGTTCCATCATCCGTAACGTCAAGGGCCCTGGTACGTCGGCATTCTATCGCAAACAGAGCTTGAAGGGTTGTTGAGCTAACCAGCGTGATCTCACAGTCCGTGAGGATGACATTCTCTGCCTCCTCGAGTCCGAGCGTGAGGCCAGGCGTCTTCGGTAAATCGTTGGCGGCATTGGGGAAGAGTGGACAAGACTTGGGCTTTGGTTTTTGCGGGTAGAACATTGGGCGATTGCCCCGGGGCGGCACGGTGTCAGGGAGCACATATGCCAGGCTGTCTAGGTAGTCAGCCGTCGGCTCATCCTCGACGCACGAGTCACCAAACGAATCATACCATTCTCGACCACACCATTTCAAACGCACACTGTCCAGTCGCGAACCCAACATCTATGCAAGATTCCATACCACCATCATGAATATCGACCACCAGCGGATTTCCAGCGGCAGCTGCTCATGAAACAGACATTGGCCAACCCGCAGAACCGCCGCGAATGTTCTTATTGGTGCCATGGGCACCAGCCCTGCCCGGATCGCGTTCTTAGAGTAAAGCCCAGGCCGTGCCTGTGATTATGTTGTCGATGACAACGAAATTGGTGACCTATAAGATAACTCTAAATGCTGGTCCTGTGATCGTTTGCCTATGGTCGCCTTGAAAGCATTTGGTGTACCTCGGACATCATAAAACATTCAGAAACTGAGCGGCAGAATCAAAGGAACGAGGGGCACCTAGGTACCTAGGTAGGCTGGGGTGGCGCCAGAAGTGGTAGGCGGTCTGTGGGAAACCAATTGTTGGTGGTCTTCAACACATATTAGCCAATCATGATGAAGAAGTTTTGATTGGGTCGTCTCTGCTTATGTAAAACAATTTACACCCATCTCCGACTTCGACGTCCAGTGCGTATCGACTGCAAGGACATCGACCAGATTCACGAGCACCTCAACGTTGAAGCTAACAACCAATACAATGGCTTCCGGATTCGGCGCACATGGCGGTACGACCACGAAATGTCCCAATTGATAGGTATTGATCGCTGACGGGTTGGAATTCCGTTGTGTAGGACCCTCGAGGTGCTTTCCCTTCTGGCAAGAGCTGCTCGGCTGCTACGTTGTCAACACGACTGAGGAAGATGGCAAGGGCAAGGCCAAGTGCGGTGCCGCCCTAGAGGACTACTACGAGTGCCTGCACCACAAGAAAGAGGTAAGTCAGCTTTCCTGGGGAGCACTCTCGAGACGCGCTGAGCCCTGACTCACGTTCGTCCAAACAAACAGGCCGCGAGGACGAGAGCGCTGCAAGCTGCGTACAGAAAGGCAGCGACTGCTAGCGAGCGAGACAGCGCCCCGAGCGCTGGTCACATCCGAAGCCTAGGCACCCTGGGTGGTGAAGAGTCAACGAAGGGCTTGACCGAGAGTTCATGAGCTCCAAGGATGATAACGGAGAGCGGGAAAACAAACAATTGTACAAGAGCACCGGAACAGCAGCTTTCACTCGAAAGAAATCTCACCAAATAAGAAACACGACCTTGGCCTTCCTAGATCTGCGCACGTGATATTGCCGGCGTTAACCGGAATCCTGTGTGTCTTGGCACTTTGTCAGTCCTGGCTGGCGATGGCGAGATGAAAAAGATGCACATGTGTCACTGAGTCGATCGAGGGCCTTGATCTCAGTTTGGTAAGCTTCAGGTAGCGACATGTACCCAGCGCCCGGTCATGACCCAGCATACATATGTCCCTAACCTAATGAGAGTCCTTGAGCTGTCTTGGTGTTAGACAATATCGATATGAGACGGGGACTGCGCAGATCTGAGCCAAATAACCTTTTCCTAGGTAATTTGTTTTGGCCGCCATATTCTTCTTATAAGTGCAGCAATAAGGTTTATGAGAAGTTTATGTTCAACACGGAAGGCCTGGTTGTGTCACAATCTGGGTAGCTCTTTCCTCTGAACCGAGCTGGAACAACCAGAGAGCGCACAATACAGCAGGTAGTACTACATTCACTCTGTTTCCTTCGTCTTCATGACGTAACAACGCAGGAACCCGATTTCAACTCCTTTTCTGGGATTCCTGCAGTCTGAGTGTCGTTTCTTCATCACTTCGATTCATTTCGCACGGCTAGCAAACTCGACGCGTTCTCAACCACACAGCAGGATCTGTCCACTCTAATCAGACATGGCATGGCTTCGAGGCATACGTGTCTCGATTGTTCCAATCAGAAGACATTCCGACGGCACAAGAGCAGTCCACGAACAGAATAAGCGAGAAAGAAGTCTCCCTGAATTTCCCCATCCCGACTCCTGTTCAGTACGCCTTATGGGCACGGACACGACAGAGCCGTTTCTCAACCATTCTCCATCTACCACACAGCTCAGCTCAGACAACAACTACTGTATTCAACGTAAGGTACATCCTAGAATTTCAATCTACGTCCCTTCAGAGCCAGGAACACAATTTGCTGTTGACTGGGTCGTCGACCGTGTCCCAGCATCCTCAAGCCACGTTTACTTTGTGCTCCTTCTCAACGGTCGCCGAATGGTTTCATGGGGCACCGATGGCTCCAAGCTGAACGCCAACACAGGCACCGTTGAGTATGGCTTATTCGAACCGAGCAGCAGATGGCGTTCCCTAGAGCAGGGTGTCGAACTCAAGCTCGATGGCGTTGAGAAGAGATACTTCTATTTTTCGGCCAACACAATCGGCACATCTGTTGCTACAAACGGAGGGCTACTGGAGGTACAAGCTTTCAGATCTATGGGAAGACAAAGACAGGCTCCTCGCCCTGGCGAATATCGTGACCAAGTCGACTACGGCATCACGTAAGATTTCGCTGTCCTGGCTGGTGATGATGCAGCACGCTAACGCGGTACAAGATGCCCCTCCGGTGGCTTGGTGGAAAATCCGCAAGATCTCGCATATTACACTTGGGTGCTGATTGACCCCAAGGACTCTCCTTTTGCTGCATTCCGGTTCTATTACAGGTCATAGGATAGCCTGAAGGAGCTGAACCTTATTCCTTGGTCTGAACGTCACGCAAGCACCGATCTTCTCTTCCGCGGTGGCAAGTCCGACATATCAGGCGAGGTTGAATCAACTAACAGCGACAAGGATAGGTTTAATTTCAGCCTGTCGGCTACTCAGAAGGCTCTTTGTTTTGATAATGGTAACACGGCGAGAGACATGTCCCTTTTGCCACAGAAATGGCTCGATGGAGCCTCTCAAGAACTTAGAGCATCGCATACGCTTGACATCTGCGAAGAGTTTCCGCCGGTGGTCGCACACCAATACACACTGCCGCCTTACAAGACATCTCAAAGCCCGGTCGATCTTTACTTGCAGCGGCCGCTGCCGATTCTGCCACCCCCAGAGAGCCACTCAAGGAAGTCATCGGGGGGCGTCAAAAGCTTTGTCGATCGCCTCATCACTATTACCCTTACATTTGATGACTATAATACAGTTGGACAACGCTGAGATTCCAGGTTGCAACACGAGTGGGTACTGGGGCTCACTGAGGACGAACGTGGCGGAGGGTGGACCCTGGAGATCGTCCACTGCCTCAACCGCGTAGTATGGAGTCTCTATCTAACTATAGCGTATCACCAGCTGTTTCAGAATGTTCTCAAACTTCGTCGCATGCTTATGAACCGAACGAAAAGCAAATCATTAGCGACGCAGCTACTGAATGTCAGCTTTTTGACATATCGCCAGCAGCCGGGCACGGTTTCCGAAAGCAAGCACTGCCTTTGGCGGATAGTGCTATGCCAATACCGGAGGGGGATAGGTTAAAACAAAGTCCATCCCCTCTTCGTAGGCGCAAGGGAAAGGAACGTTTGATCATGAATCAGGCGGGTACAGCTGATGGGTGACGAACTGCAAAGATGGTACCCACCGGAATGGTCATCCGACGGTTTCGTAGCTCAGTGGGCGCAACTTGTGAAATTGAAGCAACGTCGAAACATCTATCAAATAGACTCCTCGCTCTTCCTACCTAGCCCGTATGTGTTGTTACCACCATTTTTCGAATAAAACTTGGTCTTTTCCGATTGACAGGCCACCAGAACCGGTAAGATACTGTGCGAGCATATCCGTCATGGCTGGTACTCCGCAGATGTAGGCAACACAGGCATGATGCCGATCCTTTGGCCCCAACGCCTTTTCTAGATCGTGAACAGCCATCCTTCTGCAATGTGCAACGCAGGCTTTTGGATTTGATTGCTCTGCTCTCTGGAGGTTGATGACAGCCTTTTCTCCTCGAGTATCACCAGTGAGGAAAAGGCTCAATCGACCAGCAATAGAACCTTCCGAGAATATCTTTAATAGTCTCGTCATGAACAGGATATTATCAAGTCGCAGACTGCCATTGTCCCATGCCTCGGACGGAATCTTGGTGGCATACATGAATTCTACAGTGAATGGCGGAGGGTTTTGGCCGCTCGTGAGATGGCTCACGATGCTCATCAATGGGTTGATCCCAACACCACCAGCCACGAACAGGATGTTCTGTACGCTAGCAAGTTCGATGCGAGGCGGTGGCCAGACGAAGGCTCCCCCGACACGAACTTGGAGTGTCCTTCCGAGTACCTGCGCGGTAGGCTGGAAGAGCCAGGCCGCCGGTGGATTTGTCGGGGATCGTTGGATGGCGAGCTCTACGTAGGGTACTGGCGAGTAGGCAAGATGCGGTGGAGATGTGATGGTGAAGCCGCCTGCTTTAGGTATGCCTGGGACGAAGGTATCAAGCCATTGGCCTGGGAGAAACTGGAATTGCGTGTCAACTTCACACGAAAACAAGCCCAGCGCGGTGTTGCACATAGCAGGTGTTGGGCAAGGTCGACGAACTGTCATGGGTAGCCCGTTCACTGTCTTGAGCCTGAAGAGGCGAACAGACAAGTTGATCTCGGTGATATCGTCGATGATGACTGAGTGTATCTCCTGTTCATTTGTCAACGAATGAAGTGCTGCTTCACAGCGTTGACAAGTCGATCATACAGCATCACGCGGTTCCTGAGCAGTGCGCTCCTCATGCGAAGTTGTCGGATGAGTTGGAGTGGCCATTGCAGGTATGTATGGAGACAAAAGGTGGCGACAGAGGTTCAATTAAAGCTTTCAGGCCGAGTGTACCCGAGGTGGAGTAGACTTCTGAAAAACATTGTAGGGATCGAAGCACCCCCCCACCTGCCACGGTGTGATAGATACAAGGGCGAAAGACAAATGATGGCATCAGGATAAAGACCTTACATGTTGTGAGCGGTTTAGTCGGTTTAAAGTCCTCTTCCTTAAACCGCGAAGAGAGTGTCTCCACTCAGGCACCTATCATCAGTCTCGTAATCGTCTGCTCAATTCATGTCTATTGAAGTAGATAGACGATGATGATCGAATGTCTTGGCTATTTACTCTTTTCGCCTTCATCCACCGAGCGTCGCTCCGTTGTAACGCAACATCGCGACGAGACAGAACGCCCGAAGTAACAGAGCGACTTGCACTCTGTATCTTCGTGTTTCTGCGCCCCTGTTGCTCGATCTGCTGCAGACCGAGCAAGGCCCACCCGTTGCTAGCCTGATGTCTTGAATAGCTTATGCAACAAAGAACTCACTGCGCTTCTGTCCAATTCACTTGCTCTGTCAACTGTCCCGCAGAAGGATGAACGAACTGAATCCTCAAACGCAACCTCAGTGGCTAAAACATGGTAAGCATTTTCGTCGATAAAATAGTGGCATGGGAAATACATACCCCCTTGACGCCAGATACCCTCATTACCTGGCTCGCATCAGCTCCCGGGCTGAGATCCGTGTTAGAAATGGCCATGAGCTGTAGCTTCTGCGATTTCGGCACAGCCGCTTGCAGACCGACGTTCGAGAGTGTGACAGAACCCGAAGTGTTCCGGAACCGCGCCGTAGCTTGCACTAACCCCTCGGCATTGCGCTGCACTTGGAATGAAACATTGAGATCGTTGCCGTCGTAGCAAGGAATGCCCGCAAAGGCCTGCGGGACTGCCTGTGCAGGCGGCGGTGTACCAGAAATGGATGACATAATGTCCAAGCTAGAGCCACCAGGCGCAGGTGATGGTGCAGACTGGCCTGGGTTGGGGCCAAACATGTCCATGATGCTTGCAACGTTTGACTGCTGGGGTGGGGGTGATGCAGCATTTGGCGCAGGTGACGATGTACCACTGCCACCGAGAATGTCAGCGAGCAGATCGGCGTTGTTCTGGCCGCCAACAGGTGCTGATACGCCAGCCGGTGCATCGCTATTGATGTCGAAGAGAAGGTCTTCTTCGGTTGGCTTGATGATCTTGGACTTTCTGTTGGCTGCCTTGTTGGACTTCTTCTTTGTTGTAGCAGGTCCCAAAACCCTCGATTCTTCCTTGATCTGCGGAGGAGGCATCTTCTCGAGTACACCCCGACGGATTTGATCGTGCGAGAAAAGGTTGCCATATTCGACTGCTCGCTGCTGCACCTCGACATCAAGGCTGGTCTGGTTTGCCTGCAGCAAACGTCTCACCCGTTCAATCTGCGCAGGGTCGGCCAGCCTTGTTGTCAGCTTCATGAGTGCAGTTACGATATACTCTGTCGCCACTTGTGTGGCGTAGCTGCTGTTGAGAATCGACGCGAAGAGGTCAATTATCTCATGTTCCTTGACTTCCTGCACCAGTTCTTCCTCCTCGTACTGTCCACCTCGAAGAAGCGCGTCGCCGTATTCTCCGATACACCAAGAGCCAGCCTGTGTCAAGCTTTCCTGTGTAATGTCCTTCTTAAGGCTGGTGTAGAGCTTCTGGACGGCATATGTCTGCAGCTCTGTAGTGGTCGCTACAAGACGTATGAAGGAGGCCATAATAGGTTCCTTAACGTAGTTACCGGCCAAGGTCAACACGCGCAGCATCGTGTCCACGTGCCATCGTTTGTTAGGAGCGTACTTGTCTGCGGCCATGCCAATCTGGCTTGTCATTGTGGGCTTGAACTCGCTATCGGCCACCTCGAGGAAGGCGAGGAGCTCCCTGATCAGAACACGAACGTTGCTTTCGTTAATGAGAGTGAAACTGAGATCCAGGGCTCGCCGCCTGATACTGATATCCGGGTCCCTCAGACACTCAAGGATCGTGTTACGGTGCCTCTGAACGGCATTCGGCTCGATAGCCACCACTCGGATGAGAGTGTTCAGAGCAACGTAACGGATATTGTTGTCCCTGTTGGAAAGGAACTTTCCCAGAATGTTGACACCGAGAACACGAAGTCCGGAGTCAGCTTCGATGTCCAAAATTGTCCGAACAGCCTCGTACAAAATAGAGTTGCCCACGTTCTTGGAGGAATCGGTGTTCGTTGCTACCTGGGCCAGGATATCGTTGATTTGTTCACTGACCTGCGCATCACCAACTGCAAGTACTCGTAGCAATCGTAGAATCTTGACCTGGACAAATGGATCCGTGATACCAGTGACGTCGTGCTCCGGAGCATAGCCTGACGTGGCGAGCCCTTTGAGTGTTCGGATAAGCTGAGGGACGAACTGCTTGAACTTATCCACGATGCCTTCCTCGCCCCCTTCTTCCTCCTCAGCCTCGCATAAGCTCGTGACAAGCGTTAGGCCTGAGAGCAGAACACCATGGTTTCGATCCGAGAGAAGATGAGCTGCCTTCTCGACGAAGTGTTCCTGGAGGTCGGGCACCTTTCGACAAATGCGCATCGCACAAAGGGCTGCTTTCCTGCGGATATAAGGATTCGAGGTGGCGATGCATTGTTCGACTTCAGCGAAAAGATCCCTAGACATCTCGACAGACGCAATGTTGCCCAGAGTGCAGAGGGCTAGGCCGACGATATATTGGTTGGAATGACCAAGGTCACTGGCATCATGTCAGCATTTTCCAAGCTGCTGTATCCCAAGAAATCGTACTTTTTCAAGGAGTTGGTGACGAGGGTTAAGACCTCTTGGTTTTCGTCGAGGAGCAAACTTGTGGCTAAATGGCCGAGCCTTTTGTCGGCAAAACGTGGTGATGCTAGGAGCTTCAGACATTCGATCTGGCCGAAATGCGTTCTCTCTCCAAGTGTGAAGAGATATAGGAGCTTCGCGACATTGTTGCGCCTAGTCACCAAAACGTTAGTTCTTGAGATGTCGAAAGGAGTAGCAGCTTTTGCAGCTTAAGATCATTCCCACCGAACACCAGGATCGTGACTCTCTTCTCGGAAGCTTGCTCGAATCGAAGCGCTTTCTTTTTGGATGACCGCTCGTTCGTCGGCGATTGTCTTGGCGGCGCGAACGTTGCGAATGAATTGTTTAACTACAAGGTATGTTGTGAGTGGATTGTTCGGGGCCATTGTCAGAGAAGGGAACGGTCGTACGCGAGGCCATGATGGCTACTTGGCGGTGGCCCTTCGAAGGGGCTTCTGCGTGGTGTCAAGGCCGACAGACGGTGTGAGGTAACGTTTATTGGTGCAGGATAATAGTCGACGTGGAGCAATGCCGTAAAGCGTGGGAGAGCAGGGCTTTCGGATCGCAAGCGGGAGAAGATGGTGCCCCAACGTAAGGTGGGTTGAAGGTATCGCCAACTGTAAGGCGCCTGTGTGTCCGTCGTTGACAGGCACCAGTAGTAACCAGCTACTAGGTACCTACTTAGAGAGCCACCCTGGTCCCGCCAGCTACCTGGTGGGGTACCCCTTTACAGAGGCACGAGTCCACATACCGCACACTGTCCTCATGCCTCGGAATTCAGGTTGGTGCGACGTGGTATAATATCTGTGCCCAAACTTCAAGCTACCAATAACATCAGCGGCGGCGAGTCTAATTGAAGTGGGTTAAGAAATACCTACTTTGATTCCTTCCTTTGGTATCGGGCCTTATTAGATGTGATTGATTCCGTACGCTTTCTTCCTTCAAGTCAAACTCGTACTTCTGTCCGGCTATATGTCAGATAAATTGTGCTGCTCGCTGTACAACTATTGCGACCTTGTCCATGTATAAAAGAGTGAGACTTCGTTCGCGGCCATGTAGATTTTTCAAATATATTGATCACTACCCACTGAAGTTCAAACGCGCAAATTCATGCCCGGAATGACGGTACATCGTGACCATGAGATACTGCATAGAGGCAGTGCCTGCCTGCAACCCCGCTGATGACCTGCCTAGATCCCACCACATAATCAATGGCATTTTTCTTTTTTTCACAGGTGTTGGGCGTTGGCCAGTACCGCGCAAATCCCGGGCTAAATACCTAAGATGAACGAGAAAGACGGCCCGTAAGACCCCATACTGCCGCACCTGCATTGATTTGTAGGGCTGCAGGGCTGAAGCAGCGATGTCCTCTTCGGACGTGCTACGCCTTGTCGTGAAGAGATCTACCGCCCGCCAAAGCCAAATATCAGACTGATTCTAGCATTGTGATAGAAGATCCAAGGCTAGTTGGAAGAGTGTCATTCGTTAAATAGTCATCATGCGCAAGTGAGGATGGTTAGAGACGAAAACGCTGGCACATCAATGGGAAGCCAAGCATCTAGCTCGTCCCTCAACACATGTCCTGTCATGTCCTGTCCATACTATCCCACTTTCGCCGAACCTTGCATAAAAACAACTCCGACATTCAAAGGAAGTAATAGCAGACTACACGCTGGCCAGATCCTCCGACGAGTACCGCTATGTCCCACCCGAGAACAAGGAGTCCTCGCATGCAGGCAAGCCGGATCTCGTTTCACCTGTGCAGGGAAGTCTTTTACTTTTGCATCATCAGCTGAACGAACTCGTTGTCTGGGAGAGAGCATGTTAGTAAGACTCATGGGATCTACACCACACCTGGCGAATGGCTTGCTTACAGTCAATGCGGCCGTCACCGTCCTGGTCCGCTTCGCGGATCATCTCGTCAACTTCGTCGTCGGTCAGCTTCTCGCCGATGGAGGTCATAACGTGGCGCAGCTCGGCAGCCGAGATGAAACCGTTGTTGTCACGGTCGAAGACCTGCAAGGGTAGAGACCAGTCAGCGGGGATCTCGAAAACGGTTGTGGAGCATGCAGACCTTGAAAGCCTCACGGATCTCTTCCTCGGAGTCAGTGTCCTTCATCTTGCGGGCCATCATGGTCAAGAACTCTGTTTCCCCCCGTATTAGCCATGCAAAATCCAGTCCCATCGCCTGATGTTTCTTGCATACCGGGGAAGTCAATAGTGCCGTTGTTGTCGGCATCAACCTCGTTGATCATATCTTGAAGCTCCGACTCAGAGGGGTTCTGGCCGAGGGAACGCATGACAGTTCCTAGTTCCTTCGTGGTGATCTGGCCTGCGTTGTCGTTCAGCCTGACGTCATCTGAAGCCTTGCGTGACTGCTATAGCGGCCGCGTTGCCACAAGGCGAGCATAGTAGACTCGTGTTGTTGGGATGGGTGATGCGGGAGGTCGTGCATGGTAGGTTGGGAATGGATTACTGACCATCGCCGTCCTTGTCCTGAAGGGGGGTCAGCCTCGGGAATCACAAATAACGAGACGCGTGTGAGTCGTGGCAATGTCACAAGCACAAGGAGGGGGAGGGGGACCGGAGGAGGCGAGTAAAACATACAAACAGGGAGAACGCCTCCTTGAACTCGGAGACTTGCTCTTCGGTGAGGGAGTCAGCCTAGAAACGGGCAGGTTAGCTAACTCAATCCAAGCGACATTGTGCTCGCATGGCGGCGGCTAGCCATAGCTAAGGCGCAAGGTCATTGTTGACATCGGTGAGACGTGGTCCAGCGCACATCGAGGGCTGTAATTTGTAGTCGCAGGGAGACTGACCATATTGGGCAGATAGCGGGGAGCTGTGTAGGTGCGGAACGAGGGCGAAACGTGGCGGGTGATTTGGATGCGATTCAAGTCGGATCCGGGAAAGGCAGTTGTCGTAGATGTCGCGGGATGGTTCGTGGGTCTTGGCCAGATGCCGGTCGTGGTATCGAGCTTTTCTTTAGTGTGCGGCCTTGGAGGGGGAGAGGGAGACAGCCGGGCAAGGCAGCTCATTACACCCGTTCCTCGCAAGAAAGGAGTGAGGGGCAGGGGGTCTAGGCCACGCCTGGTCTGTGCTGTACCACCCGATATCCTGCTTATGGGGTACGTACCTGCCAGGGGTACGGCAACTGGAAGAGTGCGTGTCCAGGCCGGTCACCGCAGCTCTTCCAGCTGTGATGAGCCGGTGCCACATAGGTGCCTTACGTACGTCCCTGTCCAGGGAGGTTCCTCACTAATCAGGTGCCCAAATTCACTACTACCTGAACCCCAGTAGGTAGGTAGTTGGTAGGCACCTACGTAGGTAGCCCACCACCATCTCATTCCTTGCCTACCTGTTTACCAGCTGTTACAGCTGTCAACAAACGAACCTGACGCAATCCGCAGATGCAGCTCTAGTTGAGACTTGTCCCGTTCTCGACCTGCAGATCACCAAGCATCTCTGGATTGAAGCTCGACTCTTGACGGACCTTGCCTGATGTGACATCGGCGCCGACGACCACGCCAGCCATATCGACACACTGAAACTTTTGCTCAATCATACGACCATAGATTCCCCTAGATCTTTGCCATTATCGACGTTCTTCGCAACTAGCAACTTCGTATTCGGCACGCCAACCTCCAGACCACGAATCTTGACATAATCCAGGCCCAGCAGAAGATCACCCTTCTCCTCCGCAGCGCAAGATACGACGATAGTGCTCATACCTAGAAACTCGCTGTTTCCTTGTTCTCGTGTCGCCATGTGGCGGGACCGCACGAATCTATACATCTCCTATCGGCAGTCCTATGCGCATCACCCAACAAAACGAACAAAGTACACCAGTAGCGGGCCCGGCGGAGGCAATGCCTTCAGCGACAACTATGCCACCGCCTCGGGCTCTGAGGATACTCGTGGCCTGCTCTCCGCAGGTGCTTTCGAGGACGATGGCGACGCCGTGATTGAGATGGATCTTCTGCCCCCGCGCTGGGCCGACATCTCCGACGAGATTACAGACTTGCTGGCAGATATTGCGCGAAGGAGCCAGGCACTCGAGCGCCTGCATCAGAAGCATGTGCTGCCAGGATTCGATGATGAGGATGCGAAAAAGGCTGAGGAGCGCGAGATTGAGCATCTCACGCAAAAGATCACAAAAGGGTTCCATGACTGCCACGGCTGTATCCAGCGCATTGAACGCATGGTCAAGGAGGCAAAACATGCTGGAGCCATCAGTCAAGGGGAAGAAACCATGGCGAAGAACATTCAGATATCTTTAGCGTCAAGAGTGCAAGACGCTAGCGCCTTATTCAGGAAGAAGCAAAGTGCATATCTCAAGAGTGAGCCTCAGCAAAACCTTCAGACACTTCGCTTCAATGTGCTTACATTTCTCCAGAATTGCGCGGTATGAGTAGTTTGGGAGGCTTCACCCCGGTGGGTGAAAGGTCGTCCACACCTCAACCAGGGCCGAGTTCCTACGTAGACCCCGACATTACCGAGTCCGATGCAGATAGGTCATTCTCACAGTCGACATTGCAAGTAACGCAGCAGAGACTGTTGCAGAATAATGATGCTGCCATCATTCAGCGAGAACGCGAGATTGAAGACATTGCACAAGGCATCATCGAGCTGGCGGATATTTTCCGCGATCTACAGAATATGGTCATTGACCAGGGCACCATGTTGGATCGCATCGACTATAATGTCGAGAATATGGCGACAGATGTCAAAGCGGCCGACAAGGAGCTTGTTGTCGCGGCTGGGTATCAGAAGAAGACGACCAAGAGAAAGATTATACTGCTCTTGTTGCTCATCGTCGTGGGCATGTTCATCTTATTGTTGATCAAGCCGAAGAGGGGAAACGACAGGGGTGGTGAGGGAGACCACCGAGATGAACAGGTATGACAGGAGCGACCTGCTGACGCAAGGTATAAGATGATAAACCTTGATGTATGATCTTGATTATAATACTTAGCAAGCCCGTGAGGCTCTGCTTCAACTCTCATGTTACATTATGAAGGGTTTGGCCCGTCTCTTCCTGTCCCAGTCGGGTATCGATATGAAAGTTTTGGTGTTGTCAGGTAGTTGTCGTTCGGCTTGGTTAACCAAATCCCGTAACTCCAAAGGTTCGGGCAGCAGAGGCCCACCATGGGCTTGATTAAAAAGCTTTCGAATGGTGACCAGATCTGTTTTCTCTGCACCATCAGTCCCAGCCTCGTTGTGGCCGCGGATGCAATAACGAGCAATGCAATGAAGAACCTCCGCTCGTACCAACGCGACCTCGATAGGAATACCTTGATCTCGCAGGACCCTAAGCAGCCGGACACCTCGAGCAATCCAGAACATGGAAATAGTGGCTTCAGTGTTATGTGATTGAAGAGAACCTTGGGATTTGTTCAGTCCGTTTCGAAAGCCCCACCGGATGATAGCTGCTTGAAGCACACGGTTGACGAATATCCTCCGAATCGGATGCCAGTCATGCGCGAGCGGCAAGTCTGCCGGAATATCGAGCGAAGCATCATCGGGCGCGGTCATCGGGGAATCCGATCTGTGGATTGAAATCAAGCCTCTCGTGTCTGCGGCATGAAGCTGATAAAGCCTCACGATACCGGACGCCAAGCGCTCCAAATCATCTAGACGGCCAGTCTCACCAAGTCGGAAAAGGGCCTTCTCCCAAAACACTGATGACAAGAATTTTCGACGCGTTGCTAGTCTTGTGGCAATGGCGACGATTTCGGATATCTGACGACCAGATCCAGGGAACGAGCTGCGGTGCCTTGGTAGCCCGCGCACGAGATGTTCGTGAACTACCTGCATAGTAGCATGAGTGACACTGACATCCATTGCGCGCATATCGTCGAGCAAGGCAATGGCACGCTGATTGTGCTGTTGTTTGAGATGCTCTTGCAAAAGATGGTTAGATGTTGTCTCGATGGAGTCCCGGGCGACAGCAGGTTGGATAGCAAGTAAGAGATTGTATGTTTGCCAGTCACCATCGTTTCTGGCCGCACAACGTATCCTCTGCTGAGTTTCCAAGTCGTCGAAAACCTCTGGGTGAATGTCGCTTTCCAGCAACATGGACAGCATATCGTCGTCTCCCCTCTCCGCAAAACTCCGAACTGCTAGAGCGTAGGTTGAGTGACCGATACTGAGATTGAGATTTTGGAGCTGTCTTAGTCGCGAAAGGATGGAGGCGGCGGTTTTCTCGCGGAGAGCAATTGACTGCAGTGACAATGGACCCAGAACACGGACACCTAGCCCGTGAACCGCGTGGACAGCGAAATCAAGAGGTACCCATGAGCTAGCGAACCATCGAGCGCCGATGGCATCGTTGAATCGTAGGCCCTTTCCGCCCTTTCCTTGCTCATGGTCGGCGGAGAGAGCCTCCCATAATGATGATTCATGCTTAGATGGGTGAGAGACCGATGGCACTAGACCAACAACAACTTGTTCCTCCAGACATAGCGCCTTATTTGGGTAATAGTTCATGAAGAAGCGAAGGAAAGGCTGCGATGCTACTATCGGCCTCGGCACATCTCGGTAGCGCAAGAGGGTTTCCCGCCATTGATTGCAGAGTGTGGAAAGGCCGAGTTCGTAGAGATGAGGCATTATCAGGTCGTACATGTTGCGGTGCGGGCCTGTTATATATATCGAATGCAGGGTGCTCTGGGCAGCTGGACTGGGATCCCCAATCTGTGATCGTATGAGCTTTGAGAAGCTGTCTTGATCTGGGCCAAAGACGGCTGCCAGACGCATGTGCCACAAAAATGCTCTTCGGTATTGTCGGTGTTGCAAGCAGTAAAGTACAACACGTTCATAAAGGTGCGGCCAGTGAGCAGTATGCGTTTCAACCATCCATTGTGCATACTTGTTGACGCGCTCCAGGTGCCTGTCGCTTGGGAGCGAAGCCTCCAGTATCGTTGTCCATATCCATTCCGCCTCGGGCCCTTTCACTTTGGACAAGGCTTTCGATTGCGCCATGGCTGACCAGACGCGGAGGATTCCATCTTTTCCTTGCGATCGTTGCGCATTGGAAAAACGCAGTGCCCATGTTGAGAGGTCGTTCGATTCTGTCTTCGGCAGCGCTCGGCACGAGTCTACCTCTCTGTCGAATACGGCGAGATGTGGCAAAATGTTAAGATCCTCGTCGGTAGAATTTGTAGACTGAGAACCGCGAACATTTCGGTTACGGGGATACTCGGTCAAGTAGCGGGCGGAAGCTGATGCGACGGATTGGTGGCCTCGAGCACAGGTCGACAGGTAAGACGACTCAAGAGCAAAGCGCTTTGCTTCCCCAGAAGACTCAGGACTCCGTGCCTGCGCGAAAGTAAGGAGGCAACGTCGCGAAGGGCTAATGACCTGGTGATCCAGTTGCTTTCGAAAGAGGCTTGCTCTATTCAAGTATCCCAGGGATTGTGAGGCCAATGGCATGGCCTCGCAAAAGCAATAAACAATGTAGGATCAGATCAGAATCGAACAGCATTGCATATTCCAAGTCGCTATCGGGACGCTGGACAATATCGTAAAAGCATTGTTGAGGGAAATGGCAGTCTGAGATGGACAAGAAAAATCCTAGTCGCGGCAGCGGATCGCGTTGACCAGACCATCAAAGCTCCTTTCGGGCGTCTGGGTGCCTTAGGGGTGGGGTGTGTGAAGTAAGGTAGTGTTAGTCATCCAACATTGGGCCGAGCCACCAATCCGACATCACCTCTTTCCAACTTCAATCCGCGAGCAATCTTCGACCTACCACTCAGTCAATCAATCCTACGAATCGCCTACCGATACTCAACAGTCGAACCCCACGATTTCTCTTCAATAAGATGGCGTATGTTCTCTCATCGATCAATTGGCATCCGCATAGGCGGCATCCCGTATTGGTCGCAACCACCCGAGGCTGCCAGTGGGATCGTACGACAACATTTGCTAACAAGGCTCAGTCTCGTCAACGCCAGGAACAAGGTGCCCGAGCACCAGGTCTTCTACCAGAACGCCTACAAGAACCACCAGCGTCTCTGGAGGATCGTACGTCAACCTCTTGCTCAGATGCGCCCGCCGGCTGCTGCCTCAATCTATACACTCTGGTAACACAATTGTCGCAGAACCCTCGCTCCAAGTTTCTTATGGTCCCCTACCTTGCCCTCCTTTGGGGTGGCTTCGCCGGTATGCAGCTTGTCAATGAAGCAATACTGCGACATAGTCGGCTAACCACGGTGCAGGTTCCGTCTACATGGGCGTCCGTAAGGTTGCCGGTCACAACACCTGGCTCGGCGAGAACTAGAGTCTGGTACAGCATTATATCGTGCCCCTACGGTTTGACAGGGTTGTTTGTATAATGGATAGACCGAGCTGTGCAATCAATCAAGGCTAGAAAGTCTCAATTCAGACTTTCCGTTCACATCGTGACCATTATGCTCTGCGCGGCGGCACAAAGCGATCAGTTATCGACTGAATATAACTGCAGACTCCGTTCCACAAAGCTCAAACATGTGTCGCAATGTTCAAATGACTTGCTATCGTACAGAAATGACGTCCAACAGATCGGCTACTCCACTACGGAAGCCAAACACTGCTATATGAAGCATGTGCCATGAGCCTTTATGGGTCCGTCTGCCTTTAGTAGCCAACGGCTCCTGGAGCCTTCTCGTCCTTCTTCAAGCTGGTCAGTAGCTCTCGGAAGCGTTCCTTGCCCGAACCAGCGGCACCGCCCTTAGCACCCTTGCCGCTGACGTCAACCAGCTTCGCAATCCTTTCCCAGCTGGTGCCGCCAGAAACGGTATCCTCGCGATTGGCGAGGAACTGCTCGGCATCCTTGCGTGTCTGGGCGATAGATTTTTCCTTCTTCGAATTGTAGTTCTCGTAGAAATCGTCAATGTTCTGGCGGGCCTCTTTCACAGTATCCTCGCGTTGAGCGGCAAACTGTTCAGCGCGCTTCTGGATCTGGGCATCTCGGCCTTCCCTCCACTCCTTGATCACTTGAGGCTCTTCCTCATCCTCGACAGTTGTGCGAAAGCCGGAGCTGTAGTTGACGGATGGACCACTGCCGGTAACTGTGCCCGCAGGACCAACATCCTAAGAGAAGCAAGGTCAGTCAAAGTCGACCGGAAAATCGTAGCAGACAAGGGCGCGCATACCTCATTTTGCTGCGCCAGGTCGGGGAACTGGGACTCGAAGGTAGACTGCTGCTGATTGGCTCCAACACTGTCCCCGCCCCCAAGCAAATCATCGTCTTGTTCGAAGGCAGCGGAATCGTTGTTGGTAGCAAACTGGTCGGCGTCGTCGCCTAGGAGAGCCTTCTCGCGGGCGAGGAAGTCGTCGGTCGAGGCTCCGGCGCCCGGAGACTTAACATCGGTTTGGGCTGTATAACATCTCAGCTTCATATTCCAGACCTAAAACATGAAAACACCCACCACCCGAATCGAAGTCCTCCAGCGAGGGGAACCTGTCCGCCATTGTGTCGCGAGTCTGTATGATGAGGATACGGGTGTATCCGGTCGGGAAAGCAATCGCAGACAGTATATCTGCAGATGATAGGGGTTTTGATGGATCGCAAGGGTAGATGGTTGATTGTGGAAGCTTGGGTCGATGAGGACCAACTGGCGATGATATTGAGTGCCTGTCAGATTGAATATAACGGAAGGGGCGATAGAGGCATAAGGTAGGTATCAATCAAGGCAACCACGAGTACAGCACGCTGGTTGGGACCCAGCTGGCCTATTCATGGAGCAGTCGCTTACGTGCATGGCGTATGGCCTTGAATGACACATTACAGCCCCGATGTAACAGCAACCCCGATAGATGCACTTATTTTCCTTCTAGCAACGACTATCGACCTAGTTCACTTGAACCTCAGTCGCATCAACAATCAAGCGCCCTGTTGTACTTGCAGTTTCATTTAGCCCTCCTATTGAACTCAATCATCACGCAAACACAAACTTGCTTCCAATTGAGACATACAGGGTTCCATTGCCGCATTTTCTGATCTGGGCGATAAAGCGACGCGTCGTTGCTCTGGTAGCATCTAGCATTGCCGCTATCAATAAAGATCACGACTCGTCCGACCCAGGTCAACAACTACACGCAACACCACCTGCCGGGGCAGTTGACAAACGTTCGCTACCTCTTTCATCAGCTTTTTGAAGAAAGCTCTCTCAATCTTGCGGCTACGAGGGTGAAACTCATATTCTCCGCGACTCCGCCGCACAGTTCCTGCTTAGTGAAGCTCCGAGCGCCAGCTTTACAGCCTCAAGGATGGCATTCAGTGATGATGCTGTATTGGCGAGGCTGTCATCGCTCAATGAGAGCCACGACAGCATAGCTACGGCGTCCCAGTGGATCATGTTTCATAGGTACATCACCTGTCGGGGAATACCCAGTTGACCTAGCTAATGGAAATAGGCGCCATGCGGAGCGCACAGCCCAGATCTGGCTCCAGAGACTCAAGGATTCCACCAGCACCAAGAGGCTGAGCCTCGTCTATCTCGCGAATGGTATGAGCAAGACCCCTCGTCTCATGAAGACCATCCTCCATTCTATGAGGCGATGTAGCTGATACCGGGAACAGAGGTAACCCAGCAGTCAAAGGCCCGACATAGGCCAGATTTTGTATTGGCTTTTGCACCCATCATAGCCGAAGCCCTGGCAGTGGCCTACAAGGGAGCGCCGGCTGAGATCCAAGGCAAATTAAGGAGGGTCGTCGAAGTTTGGGCTGACAGGGCTATCTTCGAGCCTGGGATTCAGGCGGCGATCGAAGCGCGCATGCAAGGTCAGTCTTTATTTTCTTTAGGAAGCCGAATGCCTTAAAAGACTAACATGATGCAGACGCGGAGCGATCTAAATCGGCTCCTAAGAGCAATTTCGGATCTCACGCATCGAGCGTACCGGTGGACCTTGCAGGGCTCGTGGTGCACTCACAAAACCTGGAGAAAACCAGCTTGCCAACGAAGACGAGTCTTGGCACCGCAGATCAAGACTGGGACAAGCTTCATGATCCGTCGGCAGCAACACCCTCAGCCCCGGTCTATGCTGCGCGCCTTAACGGATTGCTTCGAAGCCTAGCGAGTGCAGAGGGCGCAGTAGCCGACTCGGTCAAGGCCCGCAGAGCACTGATCAGCGAGCTCGAGAAGTTGCTCAGCACTAACCGCACGATCTTAGCTCAGGAGGAGCAGCAGCTGACGACTCTCACGAGCAGGAAGACAGAGACAGAGGAGAAGAGACGCGAGGTCGAAAATGCCATTATGCGGACGTTGCCGAGCCAGGAAAGCTCGGGGGCTTTACGTGACGGCCCAACGCAAAGCCCCGGCCCCGAGCCGGAACGGCCGGAGGTAGAGGAGCTTACGCCGCCACCGCCAGATCGTCATGAGGCTGGCTTGAACATCACTGATGGTCAGAGCATTGGAACGTCGGACATATCCCTTCGCCAGGCCACTACTACAGAACCACCAGGACCTAGTCTGAATGGTCCCTATGCGGGGCCTCCCGCGTCCGGCATGGAGATGCTGTCGAATCTGGCCAGCCAGTATCAGTCTCTGCCGGTTTCGACGAACGGCTCCAATAAGAGGAGGCGGGTGGAAAGTGACGAGTTTCCAGACCTTGGGGCAGACGACGGAATTGATGCGGACGTGGCAGAGATGCTCCGCAAAGATAGTAATGGGGCTTGAGAGCAGCCAGGACCACCAAACAGGCAGAGCTTGGTGGTCACTTGGTGAGTTGCTTGTACTATATGCAAGGTTTAGTTTTATATGATCTCGCCCTGTCGGAAGAAGCCGAGAGGGGGTATGCACATGGGAGTGCATTGCTCTTTAGTCGGCTCCAGGCTAGATGCGCTACGTGTCTCATCTCATTTGAACTAGGGGGGGCTCAGAATGTCAGGTCATATAGTGTAGGGCCACTGCAGAGAGTGGGATTTTGTAGAATGCAACAAACACTACGAAGAAAAACGGGATGCAAAGGGCGAAATGCTATGCTGCGGCACTTTGCCTGGAGGGTTACATGTGACGAGACTAGACAGTGCTTGGGATTCAGCCGGATGAGTGCGAATGGGCAAAGTATCGGAGAAGATAAGTTTTGGCGGGCCGAATGATGCCGACCGACACAGCTCGGAGGTAAGCAGGATATGTGCTTGGGTCTCTTACAAATGTACCTACCCGAACTTAGGTGGTGCCGCAAAGGCTCCCCTACCGCAAATGGCAGGGGTTCGGGGGGCGGGCTGGCAGGTGGTCATGACCTGGCCTAGCCCCCCAATGCGTTTTTCGATCAAATACCGATGACGGAATTTCCAAGTGCCTCATTTCAACCTCGACTTTGATCGATTAACTCTGCCGAGCACCATCCTGTCAAAGGTCCGTTGACCCCTCGACTCGCGCCGCTGACCGTACGACCTGTTCCGGCCCGCAATGCGCAGCACCTCCGTGACACGGAACATGCTCCTCGTCTCGTCGTCTAGACCCCGATAAGACGGCCTCATCATGGTTTCGGGAGCTGCTCGATCAGCTATGCAGCTGCCCCAACGCGCCGCCACTTCACTCTGCGGTGCCTCGGTTTTTGGCTCTCCCAACATCTTCATCAGTCGTACACCCTTGGCAAATCGATGGCACCCACTGCTGCCGCAAATTCGAAAGGTTCAAACGGCAACAACTCCGACCACAAACGAACAAACAAGCGCGCGCCGCCGAGCCGCGTTTCCCAATGCTATAACATCACGCCGGCCATATTTCGCACCGATACAAGCTGCTTCGCCGGGCTGGGCAGCCTGTCGCGCTCATTTTCTCACAGTCGCTCGGTATACAGGGAGCTCCAGAAGCATGGCCAACATCCAGATGCAGCCCAGAAGCAGGTGGCAGAACCTGAGCATGACCCGGAACATGATTTTCAAAAGAGCGAGAGGGCTGCTCAGGCTGCCCAGGTCAACCTGAGTGCCAAATTGTCTAAAGAAGGAAAGGGTTCTGGCAAGGCAGGTTTCGATGAAGTCTGGAGGTTGATCAAGATTGCACGTCCCGAACTCAAATGGCTAGCCGTGGCCATTGTCTTCCTGGTAGTTTCTTCCAGTGTGACCATGTCCATACCATTTTCCGTGGGCCGCATCCCTGGACATCGTCACAAAGGACCCCGCCGAGGACGCTCGCCTCTTCGGTCTGACCCTTCCGCATTTCTTCATTGGTCTCGGCACTATATTAACGATTGGCGCCATGGCCAACTTTGGCCGTATCATACTTCTTCGCATCATTGGCGAGAGGGTTGTTGCCCGCCTGAGGTCGCAGCTGTACAGAAGAACCTACGTTCAGGACGCTGAATTCTTCGACGCCAACCGCGTGGGAGATCTGATCTCCCGGCTCAGCTCTGATACCGTCGTGGTGGGCAAGTCCATTACCCAGAATATCAGCGATGGCCTGCGCTCCTTGTTCAGTGGCGGAGCAGGCTTCATTGCCATGATTTGGCTCAGCCCTGGTCTCACAGGTCTCCTCCTCGTCATGCTGCCTCCCGTTGCCGTTGGCGCCTTCTTCTATGGTCGCGCCATCAGAAACGTCAGCAAGGGTATTCAGAAGAATCTCGGCACACTTACCAAGATTGCTGAAGAGCGATTGGGCAACGTCAAGACCAGTCAGGCTTTCGTTGGCGAAGTTCAGGAGATCAACCGCTACAACAAGCAGGTGCGCCGGATATTCGCTCTCGGTCGCAAGGAATCGACGATTGCAGCGACATTCTTTGCCACGACTGGCTGGGCCGGGAACATGACAATCCTAGCTATGCTTATTGTTGGTGGCAACTACGTCCGAACGGGAGCAATGTCGGTTGGAGATCTGACTTCATTCATGATGTACACTGCGTTTGCTGGTTCCAGTCTCTTCGGTCTGTCATCCTTCTACTCTGAGCTGATGAAGGGTGTCGGAGCCGCAAGTCGTCTCTTTGAACTGCAGGACAGACACCCTTCCATTTCTCAGACGGTGGGCAGTAAGGTTGAGTCGGCACAAGGCGTCATCAAGTTCAACAACCTCTCTTTCGCCTACCCCACCAGACCCGCCGTCAATGTCTTCAACGGTTTGAATTTTGAGATTCCTTCGGGCTCAAATGTTTGCGTTGTTGGTCCCTCTGGTGGTGGCAAGTCCACTGTCGCCAGCCTGCTTCTGCGCTTCTACAGTCCCACTGCAGGCTCCATCACAATCAACGGCGTCGACATTTCTCAAATGAATATCAAATCGTTGCGGCGGCGCATAGGCATGGTGGCTCAGGAACCTGTTCTTTTCTCTGGCACCATCGCCGAGAACATTGCGTATGGAAAACCCGAGGCAACCAGGGCCCAGATTGTCGTGGCAGCCCGCAAAGCGGAACTGCAACTTTATAAGCGATCTTCCCTCCGGCTTGGACACGCAGGTTGGAGCGCGTGGCTCGCAACTGTCTGGCGGACAGAAGCAGCGCATTGCCATCGCCCGGGCCCTGATCAAGGATCCGGACATTCTCATCCTAGACGAGGCCACCTCCGCACTCGACGCCGAGTCCGAGACGCTCGTCAATGCTGCGCTGGCATCACTCTTGCGTGGCAGGAACACCACCATCTCCATCGCGCATCGCTTGTCGACCATCAAACGATCAGATCTCATCATTGTACTATCAAATGAGGGTAGAGTTGCTGAGATTGGCAAGTACACAGACTTGTCGGCTGACCCGAACAGCGCATTCAGCAAGCTGATGGAGTGGCAAATGAGTGGAGGAGATCTTCTTGAGCCGGTCCGGCCGAGCGAGCAAGCTCGTATCACGGAGCAGGACGAGATTGAAGATGATCTGGAGCATGGCGAGGCCGAGAACGCCGAGGCAACTACTGAGGAGGTGAAGAAGAACAAGACGTAATACGATGTTCAAAGTACATCCGACATTTTACGAAGGGGGTTTCACACTCGGCTTCCGCTCCAGCCAACAGGCCTTGCGAGCTCGGTATCCGAGACCGGCCTGTTTGGGCATGGAGGGCGAGCTCGAGGGTGGCATGTACGATTAAATTAATTTTCTGCACACAGAAACACGATAGAGAACTCTCCTTGATATTTGGCATGTCAAGTTCCAGCAGGCAATCTGCGTTTCGCCTATGACGAGTGCCGGGTGAGGAATCGCGGATACGGAGATGGGAGAAACTCGGGTCCGCACCAGGTAGATGAATACCGTTGCATGGGGTGATTCTGTTGAGGATATCCCGCGAATACGCCATGTGAACATTTGTGTACAATGTGCCAAAAATGCATTCGGCAGCGCGGCATCATATTGCAGCTCCGATATACGTCTGTAGTTACTGGTGCAGCACCCTCCCAGAAAGGCTTACGATTCAACATTCTAGTGCGCAAGAAGGACTTCGTAGACAGGGCAATCAAGGTTGGGGATGATCGGTGCTTACTTGCCATCATGCAAGTAGCTCGGTAAGGTGTGACACCTCTAATGAGAGATGACGGTTGGTGCCATTGATGTCGGAGCTGCTGGTCAGAGAAGGTCATGAGGCGCAAAAGCATGTGAAGGCCGCTTGGGGTTTCCGATGAACAGCTCGAAATCCAACCCCTCCTCGGTTTTCCCTTGACATCTTTCCACAGGATAGAGCTCCACACGTCACATCACCTAATCACAAGCCAATATCATTCATCATACATTCGAGAGTTCAACAGATGAACATGGCGACTGAAACCGAGGGCACTTTCACTATTGATGGCAAGGAGCTATACACCAAGACCTGGACGGTAGGCTTTCCTCACCGATGCTGTTGAACCTGACCCAGAGCGCCCAACCATTCATGCATACGCGCAAGCTAATCTGGACCCAGCCCCAAGGCCCCGTCAAGGCCAAGCTCGTCTTCGTCCACGGCTTCAGCGACCACGTGAACCGGTACTACGGCCTCTTCCCGTCTCTCGCGGCCCGCGGCATCCAGGTGCACGGGTTTGACCAGCGCGGATGGGGCCGCAGCGTTCGCGTCCCAGCCGACAAGGGTCTCACGGGACCGACAGCGCAGGTCATCGCCGATGTGGCCGCCTTTACCCGCAGCGTCCTGGCCGCCGAGCCGTCGACGGTGCCCGTCTTCGTCATGGGCAACTCAATGGGCGGCGGCCAGGTCGCGACGCTGGCCTCCCACCCGGCCTACGAGGACCTCGTCGGCAGCATCCGCGGCTTCGTCCTCGAGGCCCCCTTCATCGCGTTCCCCGCAGGCGAGGCCCCCAGCGCCATCAAGACCTTCCTCGGCAAGCTCGCCAGCCGCGTACTGCCGCGCCAGCACCTCGTCAATGCCCTGCCGGCCGAGTACTTTCCAGGGACCCGAGGTCGTCAAGAGCGTCCGCGAGGACCCGCTGTGCCACGACACGGGCACCCTCGAGGGCCTCGCGGGCCTGCTCGAGCGGACGGATGCGCTGGCCTCGGGCCGGGTCAGGCTGGGGAGGCAGGTGAGGAGCCTGTTCCTGGCCCACGGCACCGGCGACAAGACGACGAGCTGGGAGGCCAGCCGCAAGTGGTTCGACGCGCAGGGACTCCAGGACGGCCGGTACAAGGAGTACGAGGGCTGCTATCACCAGCTGCATGCCGACCTGTGCAAGGACGAGTTTTACAGCGATGTTGGCGACTGGATCCTCGAGAGGACCGAGGACAGACCCGGACCCAAGCTTTAGTTACTGTCTTCGCCACTGATATGTAACACTGTTACTCTATAATGCTCCCTCTGATATAGCCACATACCTAGTTTACGTAGGCGCCTACCTTAATTTATGTTCTGCAGTCTGCTTTAGTCATCTCACCTCAGAAACAGCATTGACATCTTGTTGTACGGTATGTGTGGCAAAGCGATCTGGCTTGTCCCTTGATTAGACGCCCTTCCCAGTGTGGGCCAAGCTCTTGAGCTACTGTTCTGATTCGAGTTGCCCACGAGCTGCAGGACGGCCCTCAAAATGCCTTCATGTAAATAGCAAAGCCCCGCCCAGCCCAAGATCTGCATTGACTCATTCATCTGCCCCCAAAAGGCGCAACCATGATGCCGCTCTGTATCAGCGCAGAACCCATCCAACCAAGCCAGCAGCTACCTCTCCCCTCACGCCATCCAGTCATGCCCCTCGTGGTCAAACCTGCCAAACGGCAGGAACCCAAAACGAAGAACAAAGAATGAATAGAAAAAAGCAGACGCCGTTCTATGCCCGTGATGCAATCACAGCAGGATATTCGCTTCCTTCCCCGCCTCCCAAATTCATGATTTCCGACCAACCCGTCGCAGTGCTCGTTCCCAGTGTCAAGTTCCATCCTCTCGGTTCTGCTACCGAGCAATATGTGTGAAAAAAAAAGAGTAACAGAATGCGATCTTCCGTTAGTGTGCCATCGAATCGAGTAGCGTGTTTGCCGTCGTATTCGTGGTGTAGACCTGCTTCGACGCAACGGCCAACTACCGAATGACGCCCCACTCGGAGAGGCGCCCTCCGCCTTCGCCGTCGTCCCGTGCGCTGGGTCTTCTGCCAAAGAGATTCCAGAAACGTAGGGTTTCGTCTCCCGCGCCGGTGACTACCACGCGGCCGTCGGGGCTCATAGCCAAGTAGAGTACTCGGTACGTGTGCCCTGTGAGACTGGCGACCTGCGTCATGGAGGGATACTTCCAGACAACAATCTGATTTTGACTGTATCCATGTGTGGAGACAATCTCGTTCGAGTTCTTCGACCAGGCCAGGTTGCACACTTGGCTTCCCGTATCCACCTCGTTGATGACCGAGCCTTTTACTGTGTCATGAAATATGATGCGGCGATCCGCCGTGCCACCTCCAGACGCGAGTAGACCGCGCTGATGCGGTGACCAGGCGAGTGCCTTAACGGCAGCCGTGTGGTCTGAGAACTTCCAGAGCGGCGTTTCGGACAGCTTGTCCCAGACCATCAACTTGTTATCGTTTCCACCACTGGCCAGCTGTCCGTCTTCGCAGTTCCACTTCAATCCGCATACTTCTTGCTTGTGTCCCACCAGTTTCCGCAGCCACTGGTCGGGAGCCCGCACATCTCGGTGGTATATGGAGCGGTCCCTGGAGCCGGAGCTCAAGATGTGAGAATTCCAAGCAAGGGAGCCGACGCGCGCGGTGTGTCCTGTCATCGTTCGCAGACGCCTAGTCTTTTCCGCGTCCCAGATTTGCACCAGCCCCTTGCCCGTGCCGATAGCGATATGAGTGCCTTTTTGAATCCAGGAAACACTCGTCACTGTGTCATCTTCAAGCGTGCAGAGCTTGTTGACACGGCTCGTCTGGGCGTTCCACATGTAGACGCTGGAACCCAAGCCAACGCCAAGGACGTTGGCACTTCCCCAGTCGACGAGGTTCAGGTAGAAATCGTCGGCGAGTTCGGGGGCATCGAGCACCTTGTAAGGCACCTTGCTCACAGCTCTGGGCTGCCTGCGAGGGCTCAGCAGCATCTGTTGGCTGTTGAAGCGAACGGGTGAAAGGCTGTAAATCTCAGCACGGGTGTCGAGGTTTGGCCCGTGCCTGCTCTGGGGCGTTCTCGAGGGAGTCAAATGCCCGCCCGCACTTAAGTTACGTGGCGACATGTACGAGAAAAGGTTCTTGTGCGGAGTGGATGGTGTTGCTGTGGAGGGAAGTGAGGTCGTAGAGTTGTTATTTGGTGGTGTGTGAGATCGCACAATGCCAGTGTGTGGGTTTGCGGATGTGGAGTGATCTGGTGACATGGCGGGTGGTGTTGTTTGCGGTACAGAGCCCTCAAAGAGCTCAGCACGAAGCAGCGTTGAGAAGGTTCGATTGGCTTCCTCGGCTGGTAGAAAGGGTGAGCTACTTGGACTTGGACAAGGGGTCTGGGGGCATGCAAGGACTTCTTACTCTTCTGAAAGTGCAGCTCGCCGTGAGGGGTGCGTTTTTTCTGCTTCGAGGGCGTCGCAGGCGAGCCATCCTCGTGCAAAAGGTTGAAACTTGCTTGCAAGTCTTGCCCAGATCGTGAGGGGATAAACCTAGCAAGTTGAGCTTGATCAGCATGGGCGTTCGGGTCCCGCAAGACATGTTGAATTGCACCCACCTGTCTCCGTTTATCCTTTGACGCTTCCGCGACGGACTGGCACCTGGCGTGCTCTCGCGTTGCGATCTGTGCATCTCGCGGAGTAGGGCGCTATCGACGGCACTGGTGTCAAGGGCAGCAGAGCGAGACAAGTCGCTTGGTCGTCTCGCATGCCGCATGTCACCCGCTTTGACGTTGGCGCGGTCGCTGTTCTGTCGGGCCTCGAGGCGGCCTCGATCGCCTGCGGATGCGGGCGGGGGAGGGGTAGCGAAACGGGTCGAGGAGCGCTTTGGCGGTTCGACCGAAGCTCCCTTGGTAGCGACAGTGGGGGAGGTTGTTCGAGCTCGAGCTCGGCGCCGATGCTGCGATGGCGGGCTCCACGGGGTCGTCCATGATCCGGAAGAAGGACTGCTATTCTCGAGCGCTAGAGTTGCAATGTCGTATAATCTCGAAATCGCCAGGGGTTTGTGTCGGCCGGCCGAGCAGTGACGATGCGAGGGAGGAAGGCGACAAGGCAGCGGCCGTTTTGGGCTCGTTGAATGAATCGTCCGCCGCAACCACGGAAAGGACGGGGCACAGTCGCCAGGAAAGCAAACAATATTGGCTACGCGAATTGTCCCGATCGCATAGTCCTCCCAGGAGTTGGTGACAGAGTCGTCGTGGAGTCGATGCGGGTTTCGGTACGGGGTGGCTGGTCGAAAGCAATGCCACCTTCAAGTCGTATGTATGGCTCCGTGCACAGACAGTTACAGCAGGAAAGGGAGAGAGGACGCTTCTGGTTGGAATGTCGGCTTTTTGGCGACGAGGTGTTAATGGGAAGGTGATCGCAATTGCGACGTTGTCTGAAGGTGCCGCACGACGGGTGAATGGAGGTCCGGCGCGTAGACGTGAGGTAGGTGTGGTGGTTGCGATCACTCTAGGCAAGGTAGGCAAGGTGGTGCGTCGGCATCGAGTAGGCGAGCGGGAGGGAGACGTCGAACACCTGACGAAACGGCGCGGGACGCTGGGCGGCGAGCGGCAAAAACACTCCAGCAAGAAGCTACAGGGTGTGTTCGCGGCTATCGTTATCACCTTAGGTGGGAGCTGTCGCCTGCACTCCATCCAGCCTGGAGAACAACAAACTGAAGAAGCGCTAAGCTCAATTGGGCCGGAAGCAACGGGACGGCAGGGGGGCAATGGTCGCCCTTCGCGGTCGCCTCTTGGTGTCAAAGTCGCGCTACACCACCATCAGGTCGTGATGGAAAACAAACAGAGCCACCCAGCGCGCCTTGTGTCTTGCCTAGGATTCATTCGGCGATCGTGTTGCCTGAACGAGACCCGACTGGGCTATGAATTATGGATTTGGAGCAGATATGAGCACCTACACTCAGAGCCGGGCCTCGTTTGGAACTGTTCGCTAGGAGCCCATGATCAGCCATATGGCAACCAGGAAGGGGCTTCCGCCAAATTCTCAGTCATCTTTCATCTACATGTGTTTCTAGACACGTTGCTTTGGCAGGCTACACATCGACCTGTCTGTCATGAGACGAGAACCATCGCAGAAATAACCTCATGGCCTAAAAACCACTGCAACTATGCCAGCCAAATCGACCGAGGTCGGGTCTTGTCCCACTGTGGCCTGGTGACGACGTCTTGAAATGTCCACACAAGACAGTCTGGTGATGACGCACTCGTCAGCCAGCCTTGCTGGGAGGCCGTTACAGAGGCCGTTACAGCGGACATCGGTAATCGAGAGAGTTGACGTTGTCAGCGTGTTCAACTCAACCGTGCAGCCAAGCTCATTAGTCAAGCCGGGCTGACGTGCAAAGCCATGTCAATTCAGTCGTAACATATGTCATCGCCTCGCTTGTTCGAGTCTTGCAGCTGGCAAGCAGGATACAGGTGTGACGCGCGGAATACCCGCGTGTTGTGTCGAAGCGGTCGCGATCACGGTCGCGGTCAGGAGCACGTAAAGTGGTCGCTGGCTCTGGTAACAAGGGTCTTGATTCAGCAGAACGCAGGCAAGGAAAAGGAGCGGGCGCGTTGATTGGACGACAAGCCTCCCTCGCCCCAGGCCCCCTTTTCGGCTCCAGCCAGTAGGCACGTCGAGGTCACGTCGGGCTGGTCCAAACACGCAACGTGGTTTGAGTCGAGCGTTCCTGTCCCTTTTCACGCTACCCTAGTTGCCTCCTGTCAACGGTCAACACCAACACGGCACCAACACGAGACACAAAAGAAAGCAGAGACCACAAGTCAACCGCGTCGTCACCGTGTGCTGTGCCCTGTGCCCTGTTGCCCTGTGCGCCGGGCGTTGTGCCCCGCCGCAATCGGCTTCGAATGTCGTCCCCCGCCATCCATTGCCTCGAGCTTTGGCCTTTTTAGTAGTTGTGTCTACCTAGCCTAGGTAAGCCGAAGGAAGCGCTCGCTCTGTGAAGCTAGAAAAATGCCACAGAAGTACAAGTATGACACCTTTATAACACTGGGTCTTACCTGACAAGCCTGTGTAGTGGGGGGAGGTGCATCCGACAACCACGTACGGCGAGCCCACAGTGTTGCATATTCCCGAGCTGCTAAAAGCTCCGAGATGCAAGCCTTCGGGTCACCATCACCCACGATCCCGTCCCTCTGGCACGTTATACAGGTAACAAACCGTTCGTCACCCATTTCAATGTGTGGTCAGGAAAGGCACAGGCAGGAAAATGCGCGGGCATGCTCGTTACGGATGCCGCGACGTCTCTTTCCAAGCCTGAAAGGATCCTTCGCTTGGCAATTGCTTCAACTTGCATCCACTGCCAGGTACTCCTCATTGTTTCCATCTGGCCTACAGGCTAGGTGGTCTGCAGCATCCCAGCCCAACGTCAGCCTACTTTCTAGCCATGGCCCTGGTTGCGATCGGCTCGAGACAAGATGATGGGCGATTTCGATGTCGATGGCGATTTCTGACAGACGGCTTGCTAAACCTCCTTGAGGTAGCGACGACAGACGCTCAGGGCAGCCGTTGGCCTGATGAACCCACAACAGCGTTGCGGATCTCATCACTAGCTGTCAAACTATCGTGGCCTCGCGCACGGCAGCTTGACAACCCGAGAAGGAAGATTGCTCGCAGGGTTGCATTTTCTTCTGAGCATCCGCCCTCCTGAGGTTGCATCCACATGTGCACATTGTGTAGCTGGAAACCCCCTACGAAGGTACAGCAGATGGAGATGTGGAGTTAGTTCGATCGCCCGATGAACAACTCCCCAGCAGGTTCCTGGTGATCGGTGCCTGCGCCGTTCAGCTCGGTTCCTGAGCATGAGCCTCCTCTAGGTCTCCACCCAACAGCCCGCGGCAGCGCGGAGGCCCGGGCGTCGGGGCACCATGACCTCGATCTGGGCTTTTGGGCCCATTTTCCAGGGTCTCGACAACGTCCCCACCAGCATCAGCACCTCGACCGCCTGCTGTTTGACCTCCCCATCGGGATATTTGCCATCTGTCATTACCGCTGTCACCCACGCCTCTTCCCATCTGGTCAAAATGCCCAAGAGGCCCCGGCGTCTATTGTCTGCTTTTGTATTATGGCTTGCGGCCTGCTCACTATGTCAGGCATCATCCTGGTCAACCTGCATAGCCCAGGTCTCCTCTCGGTATGGATGCGACACGCTCGCATCGATCTGCCTTTCTGTCGCCCTCGATGCAAACTCAACTTGCTAGCCATGGCTATGATTATCACCTGATGATACCACAATGCGCACTCACCTCAGGCGGCAGTTGTAGAAATCCAGTCCATGCCGTGGCGGCTACTGTACCACACTGACGTCGTTGGCTCAAGCCAACCCAGTTTAGCTCATAGCCTAAGCCGTCTCTACGGCCCCCGTCGATCGTTGTGTCTAGCAGCTGGTTCTGAATAGGGACCTGAGGTGCGAACGAATATTGATTTGCCCCCCCCCCCCGCCAGGGTCTGATCGCTCCGCTAGGCTCGTGGATGAGATCGGCAAGCCCACCACGATCGGGGATGTAGTCCGGTTCACAGTCAGACTCCATTCAAGCCGCCCAACGAGCAAACGAGAGGCTGCAGGAGTGCTAGACATGCCTACTGGTGAGCACACGAGTCGAGTCAGCCTCCTGGGTCCGCGGCTTTGTTTCTTTTTTGGAAATCCTGATCCCCGTCTGCCCGTAGTCTGCCTGTCTTCCGCTACCATCTACATATACTAAGACACCTGCCTCGCCTCTGCCTTGTGAGACTGACATATTCACTGAACAGCCATGCAGTAGTGGAACAGAAGGCCACCTATTATACACTACTGAAGAAGTCTGTGCTCGACCACTTTGTGCCTACGAACTTGTTCTATCTTCGGCTGTTCAACTGATCACTTCGCCATGCCGCACCTCCAGTTAGGAGAAAACATCCTACACCCGCACCCGCCGCGGCGACGTTGTCTCTAAACTGGAAGGCCGTCATGCCACAGTCAGTCACGATCCTATGCGCCAGCACAGCCTCAGCCTTGAGGATATTGGCGCCGATATCCCTGATATTCCTCTCCGGCGACAAGGGCCCGTTGCTGCCGGCACTAGCCCTACACCGTGGGAGGATGATGGCTCTAACTGGGTCCCCCAGGGCCCTGTAAGCCCAAGAGTGTTGCACTCCAGGAGGAAGCCGAGGTATGATGAGAAATGGCCATCTATGCGCCGACAATGCTGACGATATCTTCTCGAAGCCAACACTTGCAGCACACAGAGATACCGTTGCGGGGAAGAGTGATTTCACCAGACCCCGACTACTCCGCGCCGAGGGGTGCGCAGTCGTTGAGTCCGCCGCCAAAGAGTGCCCAAACACGTTCCACCAGGTCGCGAGCCAACTCTACGCGCTCATCGTACGAGACCAACGCCACGTCTCTGATCCCCTTGCAGACCAAAGGTCTAGGGGACGATGATCTTTTGGAGCCCATCCCAGACGAAGAACTTGAACCTGGCTCCTTCGACCTCGTGGCACCAGACCAGGGAATCAGCCGGCAGCACTCGCTTGAAACACGATCAGAAGTCTTGTTCTCGAAGGAACACCTGAAGGGCATATTTTCCGACTACGTGCTTCTTCAGAAGTTCACAGACTTCCTGGCTGAAACGCGCCGCGAATCCCTGCCGCTCTTGACGTACTACCTCGACTCGATGAAGGCCTTGCGAGCCATTGCGTACGCTAATGCCATTTCCCGGGCACTGGACGCCACGGATGGCCATGACTTCACTAGCGAGGGGCCTGGAAAGACTACCAACACGGCTCTAGAGAAGAAAGCCGAGGCTGCCTTCGAGGCACTGACTCGCGAAGACCTGCCTGCTTACATCACGCATCTGTGGACGCAAACAGTCAGTGTGTCGATTAAGCGACGGATTACAGGCACTTTGCCCGTCCAACTACGGGAGATGTCGGAGGGGCTCGCTGAGGTCTTTTGTCTGACTGACCCTTCTCGACGGGATAACCCCATTGTCTTTGCTTCTGAAGGTGTGTTTGTGAAGTGAGTGAGATGATGACAGGTGGATGCTTGACCATGTGACTCCAGAAATTCTACCGAACGACTCAGTATGGCATGAACTACGTTATTGGACGCAACTGTCGTTTCCTCCAGGGGCCGAAGACCAACCCATTCAGCGTTCAGAGAATACGGGACAAGTTGCTGGCCGGCAAGGAATGCTACGAGACCTTTCTCAACTACCGCCGTGATGGGTCGCCTTTCATGAATCTTCTCATGATGGCCCCTCTGTACGACAGCCGAGGCACAATAAGATACTTCATTGGGGCGCAAGTCGACGTTTCTGGGCTCGTCAAAGAGAGTTCTGGGCTTGATGCCATGAAGAAACTCATGGCAGAGTATGAAGCCAAGGAACCCGGCGATGATGCTGATCACAATCCCGAAGAGGACTCTAAGGATGAATTCAAAGATCTCTGTGAGATGTTCAACTCGACCGAGCTGGAGACTGTTCGACGGTGTGGCGGGGACATGTACCGCGTCAAGCAGGAGGAGGCGGACCAGTCCAATGGCGGGTCGACGAACTGGAACAAGCCTCGCATCTTGCTGAGAGAGGAGTCACTGGCGGCGCAGAGCCAGCCTTCATCACCAACAGCATCCAGCGGCAGACTTACGGGTATCTACGCGCATTATCTTCTTGTCCGACCATATCCCAGCCTGCGCATCCTGTTTGCTTCGCCATCGCTCCGGGTACCCGGAATTCTGCAATCGCCCTTCATGAGCAAGATAGGCGGGTCCGATCGTGTCCGCGAAGGACTCACTCAGGCGTTCGCGGACGGCCATGGCGTCACAGCCAAGATACGGTGGTCGTCCAAGCCGGGCGTTGAGGGCCGACCGCGCTGGATTCACTGCACGCCGCTGGTGGGCAGCAATGGTGCTGTCGGCGTCTGGATGGTTGTCCTCGTCGACGACGAGGTGGATCCCCTCCCCGCGGCACATGCAGGCGCCTGCAGTCAGGGTGCAGCGTCGCAGGACGTCGCAGCCGCCGACGGCACATAACGAGGACAATATGAGCCTACGCAGCTTCGCGGCCATGAACAGGGATCCTGAAGCCAGCACTGTTGGCGACGCTCGGCCAGGCAGCCGGGGGACATGGGGGACCAGCCGCACAGATCGCCCGGAGACGCCGTACACGCTCCGCCTAGGCGATGAGTGAAGGGCGCCTGCGTGGCAAGTCCCCAGTCAATACCGGAGAAAGTGAGCATTTGTTTTGATATCATTTGTACCGATACCCACGCGTTCCATGCACTTCCTCCAAATGAAAGTGGCATATATTATATGATGTTTGTCCTCGTGGTTTGTGTCCTACCTGCGGTGAGTTTTAACTTGTGGTGAATCCCTATGTATTCAATGACATGTCACGTTGTAGGTTTCCACAAAGTAAGGCGGGAAAAGGAAGAAAAAGGCAATAACGCGCACCAGTTGACACGCACGACACGTAAGGTTCATTGAAAAGGCCGAAGAACATGGATCATATCAAGTGTAACTCGCAAGCCCATGTACGTGGTCTATCATCATGGTCTCGTAACGGTGTGTCTCATAGCGACTTGCGTCTGCCGGGAGACGCTTTCTCTATCCAGAAGTCGGCCCCTCCTTGTCTACCTCGCCTAGCACATAGGAGGCTCTGATTTCATTGTCGCACGGCCATGCTGAGCTACAGCTCCCGAGAGCACTGAATATGTAGCGCTCTCGCTCAACGCAAAAAAGGGGCACAAGCAGGAAAATTCAGCAGGCCTCCCCGATCGATCAGGCGGGAGCGGACGCAGCCTGCTCGAGCAGCCTGGCTCGCCAGCCGTTGCAGACCTCCTCAAAGCCGCCAACTACGTCTCCGCAGACGCCGGCGCATTCGCGGGTTTTCGAGCCTCTCGCCCCCAATTGCCGCGCGTAAGCCATCGTTCGCCTTCGTCACGCAGCTCCTCTTCTCGTTTCATCTCGGCCACAAGCTCTTTGGCGCTCTTGAGACGCCGGGTCGCTGTGAGGGTCGTCTGGCGCGACATATGCAACGTGTCGGAAGGTAGTTTAAGCTTGAGATGAGGTCTGAAGTGAGGGTGTGCAGTGCTGTCAGGGAGTCGTGCGCCTTGGCGATGGGGCGAGGCATGGATTCGGACAGCTCGAGAAGGAGCGGGAGCAACTCATCTACGACTTCTGGATCTGGCGGCGGAACAAGAGGCGAGAGCAGCGGGAAAGTCAGGTTGTGCATCTGGCGAGTCTGATGTGACAAGTGTGTCGTGAGAGCGGCGTGCGCAGTAATGAGCCTGCGTCGACCACGTCAGCTGTTGCGACCCGTGACGGCAAGCCAACCCCAAGAAGACTCACCTTGTCGCGCTTCCTTCCACGCCTGTTTGGGACCCCAGGTCTTTGAGGCTCTCTGTTACACGCTCGAAGACGCCGTCTGCCGGGCTACCGTTGTTCTCCGTGCCCCTTCGTGCCAGCGCCTCAACAGCATCGATTCTCGCAATCAAACTTGGTGGGATGCCTGGTGAGTCCAGATCCGATTCCGAACCGAATTCGCTCCCATCGTATCCGCTTCCTGACCTCGCATGGCCCTTACGCACCGGTGAAGGCACATTCAGGTTGGTGGGCTTCGTGACAGCACTAGTGACCTCTTCCGCAACGTCAACGCCGCTGTCCCGTATACCATCGATACCCACTCTCCCTTCGATCGTTCGCTGTTCGGGGTCCAGTGTATCCTCTTCGTAATATTCGCCCTCCTCGCCAGAGTCAGAGAATGCATCAGCCAGCTCGTCGGCCAAATTTCCCATGCCATTGCCCGTCCCCATACCCATGCCCCCGCTGCTAAAGATGCCGATGTCGAGACCATCGTGGTTGTTGAAGCTGGTCCCAATGGGCGTTGCAGGATCCTGCAACGAGGACCTGGAGCGTCGTCGGTCTTGTGGCGAGGACGTGGTGCTGCTATACTGGTAGGACGCGTCGATACTGGAGGGGTGGCGGGAATGCCTCGGGGTGCGTGGAGAGGAAGGCATTCTGGATGCAAGTTAACGCGTCAAGGATATTCAGATATCCAGGCGTCTTGTCGGCGGTCAGGACCTGGGCGCGAGGAGGGGGGTTACTAGAGACCAGGCGAAGGAGCCGTGCGGATGGGACAGCCGCGGGCGGTGAACTAGCAGCGATGGTTGTTTGTCGCTTCGTGTGCAATATGACTATTCTCGCGACGAAGTCGTTGGAGAGGAAACAAGGCAGGCCGCGGCTGGAAACGATGGGGACTATCAGGGCAGTCGGTGGTCCGCCCTGCCTCAACGTCGTAGAACAATATCAGATGAAAGCTATGAGACGAGATTGACGTGGTTGGGGACCTGCTATAGGCATGCCACGGGCTTGCCCCCAGTTCG